AGTAGGTGGAGGGACAAGCGACACGAGAAAGAGAGGATGGGAGGCCAGGTTCCCGTTTGCTCCTTCCCTTTGGATCCCTATCTGCTCAATCCATACCCATGCACATTTATTTCGATTGCAGTAACCATCACAAAAACAAATAAGCAATGCAAAGAGAGCAATGGGGGCGGGATCCCTTCTGTCATCCTAATTGTTTATTTCGTTCTCCTCTTCCTCCCTATCTTCCCTCTCTTCTACTTTCACACACTTTCCTATCCTTGCTGGATATGTGTTTGTTCGAGGATTTTGTGACACCAGCAACCAAATTGCACTGAACTTGTTAGCCTCCTTTTACTGCCTTTTCTTTGGTTTTGTATCACCTCGCCAGTCAGCAAAACAACAACAACAATGCAAGCCCCTGCATCCAGGATGGTCCAAGAGTGGCAGGAGGAACAACAACAAAACTGGTACGGAAGGAGAGTTGTAAGGGAGGAAATGGGACATGGGTAAGGGTATTGAAGATTCTGAGCCCCCTCCTTTCGTACCGCAACCTCCTTGACCTACTGCCTGCTTTGCCGGCGGTAAAAAAAAAAGGGAAAATGGCGACCCGGCGAGGCTGCGAGAAGGCAACAACAACAAGCGACCACATTGTCGTGTTTTAAACCCTATCCCTTTTTTTTTTTTTGTAGTACTAGAGTAGTATTTCCTGCAGTATCGACGTCAGAGGAGGGAGGGATGGGAGAACCATAGGATGCATGTGAGCACATTGAAAAAAGAAAGGCACATTTCAACAACAGACTTGCGCTATTGTCCAAAATGGCTTGACCGAACGACCGGTTGACAACCTTGTCAACACGCACACCTATTCCTCGATAGTTTGTTGGATATACAAAGCTCTAGACATAGTTACCAGAGCACTGGTCACTCGTAGCGAACGAGTAAGAAGAAGGGACCCCGGCCGGACCATAAAAGACTGCTTACGGCACAAGTTCATCCGCCAAGGCGTATACGCAATACTCCAAAGGACAAGAAAAAAAAAAAGAAAAACGTTGTTGGTGGTGCTCTTTTCATTGAGCTGTTTGTTTCTCTTTCATTTTCCTCTTTCTCACTCTCTCTCGTTCGTTCGTTCAATGTGTCCAACGACTGAGTAATGGCTCCGACCCCGCCCTCGTCATCTTGCTTATGCCGGAACAGCCAACGAGAAGCCTTTGGCCCATTTTAGTTTAATGTAGTGTTGGATCGGCGGGATGAGGTATGGCTCATTCTCATTCATCATTGTCCTCTTTCTTTCTTTTCGATCTCAATTTTTCTGTCTTCATAACCCCAACCAACCAACGAACCGCGCGGCCGTTGAATTAGTGCAAAAAAAAAAAGAAAGAGCGCGCTCGTGCTCCTAGACAACATCTCCTCTTCGTCCCCGCTCACAGTCCCTCCCTCGGTCTCATACTCTCATACCGTCTCATACCACTCATCGCCGTTGGTCCTTCTGCCTCCGTGTCCCGTCAACAGCATCTCGTGAAGGAATATCTTTCGAGCTCAAGAAAAAATTACACTTCGATTAATAGAGAAGGTACATCTAGGGGAACAAATCAGCTCGTTTGCTTGTTTTGTTGGTCAAAGACAAGTGAGGGTACAGTGCCCAGAAGAAGAGAGAAAGGGGATTTTTTCATTGGTGTTCTGAATGGTGCAGGAACCCTTTACTTGTCCAAATGTACTTGGCCCTTTCCCTCTTTTCTTTTTTTTCTCTTTTCCTCGCTTACTCTCGTATGTATCTCTCGGCTAGCAGATTCTTTTTACCCTGTTGGTCAAATAGAATGGGGAGGAGTTGGGATCGGCAGATGCTGGTCCTCAAATATATAGTAAGCGACACGTAGTCTCCGGAGAAGTGTTCTTTTTCTTTTCATATGGTTGACATAAGTGGACTGGTTCTTCCCATTAGTGTTTTCATAAGATGTATTGTAACTAAGCTGGGACTATAGCATAGAGTTAACTATTTCGCCGAACACCAATGTTACAAGAAAACTCAAAAGTTGCAAAGAAAACTCAAAAGTTTGTAAAGAAAACTCAAAAAAAGGGCCAGTGGGCCATAGGGCACCCAACAACAACAACAACAACAACCACAACAAAGTAAGAAAATCAAATGACACCATTTCCGGCAAATGCACCACGTTCAGGCACCCAACAATCATAGCAATTGAAGCCTGTCAGTTTTCTTTTTTATCTTTGCGTGTTTGCTAGTTGTGCGAGATGTTTGATTGGTTAGCAGGGGGGGACCGGATGTTAATTCTCTTTTGGTTTGGATGGCATGTTTGTGTACATGTGTCCATAGAGAAGGAAAACAAAGAAAGGACTCGGGTCAACAGTCCCCACCCAAAATGTATCGCACTCTTAGAGGTAAATCTTTAGTTCATTTTGGGAGGGGGACTGTCCATGTGTCCAGGTGTCCATGTCTGCGCATCGCATTCGCCCAATGTGAATGATAGCACACTTTTCCTATGAAAATGTGTGCTATTTCGCAAACAGGAGTGTAGTTAGAGTAGAACAGGAGGAAGGCAATATCACCATAGTCACTCTTTAACAATGGTGACAACTGGGTTATCCTCTATCGCAACTCGCTGGCAAGTTTCGCGACAAGGTTGCAAATTGAAGTGAATGAACGAGAGTGCAAGGCAGGCGCACAGGTTTTTTTTTACCTTTTTTGACGCTTTGCCCACACAACCGCCTTTTCAAGTCTAGGGTCTCTTGATCGGCAGCACCATGTTTATACCCTCAATCTGGAACAACCTCAATGTAGAGCACACGCAAAGATTCTGTATGGACAAGCGCTCGTGAGAGACATTTACGAGGCCAATGGCAGGACCGGTTCCAATGGGAGCGAGGACAAGCAGGATGTGTTGCAACCTTTCAGGAGAGCCTTCCTTCTCAGGATTGTCCCATACAGGAATCGGCATTGACAAGGACACTGGGATCCAAGGATAATGTACCACGAGCTCAACTCTCGTCTGTCGAACTGGAACTGCTGCGCTCATTGCCTTACGTATCGCCACTTGACACGGGATGGGCTGGTTATAGAGAGTGCCAAGCCTACTTTATCATCCGAGGACCTTTGACAAGCAAACCTCCTATGTTAATTTTACATGGAGTTGGTACACGGAAGCGGGAGCTCACACCCGATTGGCTAGAACGAGTTGGAGCAAAAGTATTTCTTCGCCTTCTGTGTGTCTGTTTTATCTTTCCTTTCCTCTCGCATATTCTCTTCAAGTTCCTTCATTCACCACTAACAAACACTCTCCTTCATTATTCCTCTCCTTCACTCATTGACATTCCTTCTCCCAACAGCAGACACAGCACCCCCCCTCCCTGTTCCCTCATTCCTCCTTGCCTTTCTTCAAAAGAGGCCCTACCACAAGGGAGACACCCTATGAGCACCCCAGCAAGAGTCTTTCGTAAGACCCCGAATTGGACTCGTTCCTCGTCACAGACATCGACAGCAGCACCACAACTGCCGAAAAGGTATGCAAGAAATAAGTGCTGCGACAGTGATTCACTCATTCCGTTTGCAATTGCATCAGCTTGCAATCAACCAAAACCACTCAAAGTTTCAGGCACAAATGGGAGGACACGGATTATGGCCGAAAACCACGATCCATCTCTCCGAGAATTATGCGAGACTCCCCCTGCCGTATGTTCTCTAGGGGCTCAAACTTCTTTCAGATGCCAGGATGCCCGGTCATAGAGGACGACAATGTCGCCGATTTTGAGTTCCTCGCTGCTAGTCTTGCGCGAGTTTTGTCACCTTGCTTTGAGAGCTCCCAGCTCCACTCGGGATCTTGTCATGAAGCGCCATCTGCCCTTGCCATGCTCATTCAGGGATACTCGCCTGCTGGATTGACCAAGCTGGATATGTACCCATGGTCCAAGGGACGAGGACTTCTTTTTTTTTTTTTTTTTTTTTTTTTTTTTTTTTTTTGGCCCTCCTTGTCCACGCAGGAACTCTCAAGGAGCTGTGTAGGTCTGTTGGGACAGGAGCTTCTAACACAATAACGACAACATGTACGCCGCCTCCCATGCCCTCATCCTTCTCAAGAACTGCCGCCGACTCTACGAGTTGAGGATCACAAATATCCCCTGGAGCTGTCGCGCAATCCTGGACTTTTGGGAGCGACGAGCCTGGCAGGGATGCTTGTACCTTCTGGGTCCTCGACATTGCCTTGTACGCGCGGAGAGGCCCCGATGAAGAGGATCTGAACTGTGGCGATTCTGATTATGAAGATATCCCAGAACGATGAGGGTATGGCGATTTTGGAGACCCAACGCAGCTCCGGGCTGGATCAAGCCAAACGACTCGGGCTGTCCTCCTTGCTTCCCCCTCTCTAAGGCGATGGGAGCGTTTTTTGAGATGTTGGAGCTCCACCAGCATGTCGCTACATTGTGTTTTTTGGCCTTCAAACGTTCATTCGAACTTAATGCCTCCTTTCTCAACAATGATTTCTTTTGCTCACCTTCTTTGCACAATTTTGCGGCATCGCATTCCTGAATAAAAAAAGGTGTTGCTCTTGCCTATGTTTGGCTGCTGACCCGAGTTTTTTTTTTATTCTACCTCTGCCACAAAAAATAAAAAACCCCAAAGTACCTCATATACCAACCGAAAGCTGATTTGCGCTACGTAGAGAACGGAGCACAAAAGCCGTTTTTTTTTTTTTTTTTTTTTTTTTTTTTTTGCGCTATCTTGCCAGACATCAAAAGAACTCCTTTCAATTCCATCGCCACACCATGCTATTGTTCTCACCCACTCTCAGATAGGGAAAGCAACAAAAAAAAAAGGACATAGATTCGACGTAGATTCGTCTCTTTATTTTTCAACAGTGAGTGGGGATCATGTATGTATGTGTTGTTGGAGTTGTTGTTTGTAGGGAACAAGGCAAAAAAAGGTAGGACGGAGGAGGAGGAGGGAGTTGTTTTGAAAGTGTAAGGAATGGAACAATAAAAAACAGATCAAGTAGGAAGGGTACCGACACTGCTTAGAAGAGGGTAACGTAACCGAACTTGTCGTTGTATCCCTTGGTGTCCCACTTGCTCTTGGCCAACAAAGCATCGACCTTCTCGGCGATCTCAGGGCGAGACTTGAGAACATCATCGACCTATGGATTAGATGGCATGGATAAAAGCGCCGTTGTTAGGAAAAAGTTGGCTAGGCAAAGGTTGAACTCAGGTATTGTAGCTGGGGTGTGTTTGGAGATCCTTGATTCGAATAGCTCCCGCGCGTCGATTCTGCTGCCAAGCCGGCTGCCGAATGATCAGAATACTGAAAGCCGTACTTGGTCCTCCATAAGGGCAATATTCAGAAACCTCTTCATGACGTCTAGCCAAGATCAGGCGCGACCTGAGCCTCCTACACATCCTGCGATCCTGGGTACAGTCGAATATGTCGAAAAAGAACTGTGTCCTGACCATCCTGGCCTTTGATCCTGTCAAGTGCTATCCTTCAGGAACGACCAATCCAATCCGACATCCTGAAAAAGAAAGCTGTCGCGGTGCCAATGGCTCGGGGGCGAGGACAGGCTGCAAAGACGCCAGATACGTACGGTAAGCTCATCAATGGGGCGGGAAGTCTCGATGTTCTTCAAGGTGGCCTGGAGATCAGCGAGCTCAGACTCGACCTTGGTGGCGGTGAACTTGGCACGCTCAAGCTAAATGATTGTTCAAAAGGATGCAGTGAAGGGATATGGGTGAGTGGAAGGTTCAAAATGACGCGCTGTGAGAGACGAAGGCGTTGGATAGGGTTGGCGTTCCTGGAATGCATGCCAGGCGGTTGGTAGGTCCAGTTGAAAGCAAGGAGGTTGAGGGATGATTGTCCCACTGTATTATCGTGTCCTGTTCCTGAAATTCAATTATGAAAAATAGGGCGTCTGAGCGTCCGTTGGGTGTGTTCGGGTGGTTCAGGGAAAGAGAAACGGGATGATGAAGATGACAACCGTCTTTTCTTCCCCCTCCCCCCTTTGTTGTTGCTTTGTTGGCTGAACATTGTGAGAAGCGAGAGGGTGTGTGAGCGAGATCGGGTAGTTCAGGAAGGGCGGAGGGAGGGATGGGATTGAAGTTGATGGCGACAGCGATCGTTTTCCTGTACTACTGCTTTGTTGAAGGAGCTGGTCGAGTGCATTGAGAATGTGAGAGAAAAAGGTATGTGTATATGTGCGCGCAAGTAGAAGGTGTTGTTGGTTGTGTGCGCAAGGGTCGATGGTTGGCTACATGCGCGTAGCATCGAACCGGTGCCTGAACAATCCTGGATCGAAAAATAAAGAATATAAACGTACAGCCTTGGCCTCAACGGTCTCAATAGACTTGATCTGAGCCTTGACATCATAAGTCGAAGGCTTGAAGGCCTTATGGGCCTTCTCGACCTCGTCGATGATCGCCTGGTTCTTGAGGACCTTGCGGTAATGAGCAAAGTCTACGGCTGTCTTCTGGTCCTGGAGATCAGACAACACACGACGGGCCTCTTCGTTGCGCTTGCGGAAGGCGCCCAAAGCGGCGACAGTCTCGGTCTTGAGACCGAGGGAGGTCGACAGCTTGGTCCAGTCGATGTGGGTGGCAGCGGCCTTGACAGCAGACATAATGAATTTAAGAGAGAAGGGTGGAGTGGAGAGATGAAGAAAGAAGATGAAAAGACGATCGTTTTGTCTTCAGTCTCGTTCTCGCTTTGGTTGAACACACTGACAGGACAAGGAGGTTGGCACAGACGGAACCCGATCAAAACAAATCCTATCTACAGTACATGCGATCATATCCAGTTTCATTCAACATTCTACTACGTCAACAATTTTTTGATTTTTTTTTGGTGGCGTGTAAATTAGAAGGACTATGGTTTCTTAAGCCCAGACTTCATACCAGCGCCAGCAACGGGGATCTCGGTGGTCAACCACTGCTCCAGCAACGGCTTCACCGGGGGACCACCGCCATCAAGCCGCTCCCTAAACCGGAACACCATCGAGTTCTCATTCTTGTCCGGGTTCAGCAGCTCCCTGTTAAACCTATCACATCATTGTTCAAAAGGGCGAACAGTGGTTAACACTTCTCGCAAAGTGGAATCGATGAGAGCAACATCCATATCAATACAAAGAAGGGGACTTACCGAGAGAGGTGTTGTCGAAGAAGGGCTTTCATGACAATCATGCTCTCACCGTCACCGACATCAATGACCTGGAACTCGGTTCCTTCAATCCCTTCCTTGTCCACATCAATCTCCGCTCGCTCGCCGCCGTGAATCAGCTTGATCTGAAAGTGGTTCTCAAACAGAACCACAGCACAGTTCGGATACGTGTAGTATGCGTTGTTCGGTCCAAACGCAACCGAAATGGTTGGGAAATGGAGTGGGAACGTCGCAGTGTTGTTGGTGTACAGGTTCTTGGTCGCATACAACGCAAGTCCATCATCTGCCAAGTGTGCCGTCGCAACTGCCGGCGCATGCGTGGCTTGGTACTTGGTCGCAGCGCCCGCATATGACCTGAGCAACTCCAGCTTGGCTCCGGCTGTGGTAGCAGTCGATACCGTCGGCTTTACAGCTGAAGCTGGGGATGTTGCGCTTGTCGTTGTTGACGCTGCTGCAGCTGCAGTCGCCTTTGCCTTGGGGGTCTTGGGGGTCGCTGCGGCCTTTGTACTCGTAGCCTTGGCGGTCGTTGACTTGGCGGTAGTTGCTTTAGCGGATGCAGTCATTGCTGGCTTTGTCGTCGCAGAAGCTGAGCTCGATATAGGAACAGGGACAGTAGGGCTTGCAGTCACAGATGAACTGATGCTGGTAGGCGTCTCCTGAGATGAAGGTGAACTGGGTCTCGATTGAGTGGATCCTTCCGTCTTGACTGCTGGTAGCTGTCCATCCTTGGCATCAAGTGCTTTGCTTCTGTCCTTCTCAGTATCCTTTTCGTCGAAACTCTCCTTCCCGCCGTCCTTGTTCTGATCCTTTTCGGCTTTGGTGGCAGGGTCCTGCGTTTTGTCGTCAGACCTGGCAGTATCTTTGTCGCCATCTTTGCCCTTTTCCTTCACGGTTTCCTTGCCCTTGTCTTTCTCTTTTTCCTTAACCTTCTCCTTGGTGGCCTTCTCCTTGGGTCTGGGCTTGGGCTTCTCTTTGTCCTTCTTTGTGCTCGACTTTCCTGCTTGCTTCTCGCCGAGCTGATTGATAGGAACCAACTTAGGGCCGGGCGATCCTGACAATCCCGCTATACAAACGACAATAAGAAAGCGATATAAGACACTAAATCATGAAATACACAAACTTTGCGCCTATCATGTTCCATGCAGCCAGCTCACCTTTGCTGGCGCTCCGCTTTTTTCCAGTCTTGGTCTCTCCCTTGTCACCCTCGACCGACCGTACAGCATCGCTTGCGCTCGAATCCTCAGATGCATACGAATCCTTTTTCCTTGACCCAACAACCGGCTTTTTGCTCCCGGTCTTGACCTCCGGGCCAACGGTCTCGCTAGATCCCGTAGACAAACCGTGATGCATCCGTGCGGCCGCCTCTGCAGTTGTCGTCAAGGAAGCGGTTCCAGTTAAAGCTGCACTGACAGGAGCAGGTGTCACTACGGACATCGTCGGAGGTGTTACCACCACCGGCGCTGTAACTATTGGTTTGGCGACTGCCGTTGCCTTTTCCGAAGCATCCTCGAGGATCTTGCCATGCTTCCATTTGACTCCGCAAGCGTTGCAAAGAGTTCCTGGGCCTTTGGGGCCTCGTCTCCACATTGGTGTCGATACACTGTCACAGTAACTGCACTTTTTCTGGTTTGACGACGAAGCTGTCGACGCTGCTGCTGATACCGGTGTGGGTGCCGGTGCTGGAGCTGGAGCCTTCTTGACCGGTGCAGGAGGTTTGCTGACTGCTGGTTCTTCCTGTCCCGCCTTGGGCTTCTTTGCCTTAGTGATTGGTGTTTGCGATTCCGCCTATTTATATAAAGCAACAGAGTTGTCAGTTTTCTTAATCAAATCCGCTGATCCACGCGGAATGATCTACGAGCTGATAGTATATGCAGACTTACAGAAAGCTCTGACTTCCGCTTCGAGGGCTGCAGACTGGTCAGTGGCACAACTCTGTTGTCAGGAAGTTTTTTCAAGCCCATGGGGTGAAGTTGTTCATCCGGAAAGTCGACAGGGAGTTTGTACTGGACATAGTGTCGAGGGGGTATATGCTTCAACTTGTCCATCATAAAGCGATAGGTTGCCGCCGAGTCATTAATCGATTGAGTGAGTCCTGTCCACAACTCGGTCGTCGCCTGCAAGATAACCATTGTTGTCGCCTGACCAGGTCCTGGAACCAGCGGCGGTATCGCACCAGGTGCTGTTCCTGCCAATCCTCCACGAGCCTCCTCCATTGTCGGGAGGAAGAACGATGCTGAAATCTTGCCTGGCACGTCCCCATCCGGTGGTGTTCGCTCCAGCGAGGTCTCGTGTGGGAACAACCACCGCACGTTGGGGTTCTCCTTGAACTCGAACGCCACTTGATATCTCGGCCGCTGCGCCCGTGATGCCAATGTCTTTCCCTTGGTGTTCGGAGCTGTCGGCGTTGCTGGGGAAGACACCTGTGATGTAGGAATGCTCTTTTCCTGGGCTTCGGTCTTGATCTGCGTCAATGCTGTCGGTTCCTCCTCCTTTGTTGCTGACGCCGCAGTCGTGGGTGATTGGGTTGGTTCCATTGATAAACTCACAGGTGGTCTGCTGTTACTGCTGCTACCTCCAATGTTGGTGTCAATATCCATCGGCGTGAGCCCCAATGACTCTGGAATAGCTCCCGCAGCCGCCGCCTCGGCAGCCATATTAGCTGTCCTTGCCATGATCAACTCAATAACACGTTCTGGTGCAGGCGACCCGCCCAAAACAACAGGAGGCGGGGTAGCAGCTGGCGAGTCGGCCACTTGATCTGTAGATGTAGGTGTCGTCGTGCCAGTGTTGGGTGCCGTGCTGGGAGTCGAAGACGGAACAACTGGTGGTGGCAGTGGGTTGTAGATGCTGAAGAACTTTGTGTCGAGAAACATATGAGGCCCGATGCAGACGGTGCATACTCCTGATGGCGTCAACTCGGAGGCAAACTTTTTCCCTCCTGGTCCCCGTCCGGGTGGTTCTGGAATGAAGCGAGTGAAGGCTGTATGTGTCCAGGAATGCCGTGACTGAACCAACGTCGCCCTCAGAAGTGCGCTAGACACACCGTGAGATCAAAAAGAGAGAAAGAGAAGTTAGTAGAGGAGAAAACGGGGAGTAGTCTAGTGCTAGTATTGCCCAAAGATGCGGCGTTTGTTTTCAATGATGTATAGACTCACCTATCGGCGATACTCATAGTGGGCACACTGTCCTCTGAATCTGGTTGCAGTAAAGTCGGAAAGACAACTCTTGGTTTCCTGGCAGCCTCTGCTGCAAGGCGTCGCCTCTGTGACGACGACGACCCTCCTATTGGCATTTTCTGGGAAGGGGTCGTTGCCATGGCGATTTTCTCTTAGTTTTGACCAGCGGATTGCTCTTTAGTCCTCCACGCCGTCGGTCAAGTGTGTGTCTCTGTCTTTGCCTGATTGCTGCTGATCAGTCGTGTTCGCGATGTGGTGGGTATGTTGAGAGGAGTCGTGACAGCGTGGTGAGTTTGTCCTTGTTCCAAGTCCAGCCTCGAATTGATCCTAATGAATGGGCATGCAAAGCATGTTGGAAAGTCAGCTCGCCTTGTTGTTGACATTCACACAAGTCCAAAGTTTGATCGGGTCATACATAGTTTGCTGTTGGCATGGTCATTGTTCAGGTCATGATTATTACCAACAGCGAGCTTGGTGCTTTTTCGCTGTAGTGATCAGCCAAAAAGGAGTAACAAGGGAGCGCAACGTGTGTCCCTGTGTCTTGTGTTATTGTTGTTATGCTATGAATGGTTGATGTGCACGCCAGTGTCTAGAGTTGAGGATGTTGAATGGGAAGGACAAATGGACGAAGAATAAAGAAGAAAGAGCAAAAGAAAAAGAAAAAGAAAAAAAAAGTTGAAAGGAATAAAAGAGGCAAAAGGGAAAAAAAGTTCAGCGTGGCGGTGGCGCTAGGAGTTTCATATTTTTTTATTTTTCATTTGACGTGACAGATTGTATTTCATCACTCGACAACCTCGGGCACTTCGGACTGTTGGACATATCGATCTCGGCACAACATCTTTGCCAAGTCCTGCTGCTCAACTAGCCTCTCCTTCCTCTTCTTCCTCTCATTCAGACTCATCGTCGTCCTCTTCCTCGTTCTTGTTCCTTCATCAACAACATCATCCTCGGCCTTGTCCCTGCTGTCCATCTTGAACGATGGTCTCCGTGCCTCCCGCCAATTCTCAACTGTCGTCAGGAATGTGCCCAAAACCTCCTTAGCAATCGCAAAATCCATGCAGTTGCTATGAACGGCGTACTGGACCGTCACGAATCCAATCTGGTACTCCTGATTATACTCCAGCGACCCCTCCCGTGGGAAATCCAGCTGAACCGTATGGCACGGTCCGTATCCATATCCACCGGTCTGTTCGAATCCTTCCTTTAGCGACGCCAAGTCCTCCCTAGGCCCATGCAGCGTCGGTGTCGGTGATGTTGCAAAGTGACTATTGTGACCGCTAGTCACCTCGCTTCCCAGTCCAGAGTCGTCGCCAAAGGATGATGGGCGAGACCCTTGAGGTAGTGTCGATTCCTTAAAAACGCTGTCGTAAAGCTCACCATTGTGTTGTTTGAGCGCAGATCGCTGTAAAAGTTTCTGCTCGAGCAAACCAGCGTCCCGGCCAGTCGTGTGACTTTGCTGAAAGGTCAGCTCCAAACCTGCCCTTGCCATCTCTTCCTCCGCTGATGCCGCCTCTCCTGCTTCGGTCACCGTCATCTCCTTGTTGTTGGTCTGAAGTCGACGTGCTGTCAAGGCAGTGTGGAAAAGGGTATGAGAGTTGGAGATGAGTACATCGGCGTCTTCGTCTCCGTGGATCAGCAAGAGGGGCGATTGTATCGTTTCAACAGCCCGCACAGTCTCAAATCGGTCCATGAGTCTCATCTTGAAGTGATTAAGCAAAAACGGGAAGCGTGCAAAAGGTTGGACGATGGGTATTTTCCGGTAGGCGGTCATCATGTCGGGCATAGATGTGAATGCGGCATCGAGGACCAGGGCCAGAGGCGAGAACTGCTGCTCCTCCAGATGCAGACAGAGGTTGGTGGCGATTCCTGAGCCGAGTGAGTGTCCATAGATAACAACCTTTTCGCAAGCAATGCGACGAGTCAGCCAACCCCAGGCTGCAATAGCGTCCATTTTGAAGCCAGTCTCTGAAGGGAATCCGTCCGAGTCTCCATATCCTCTGCAATCAATTGTGATGATGTGTGCCGTCGGCATTGACTCCTGAATCCCCTTGTATGTTACAATTCTTGTCGAAGTACCGCGATCACCTAGGACGATGTGGATATGTTCAATGTGGATTTAGTTTTTGCAGCTTAGGGAAGAACAGTCAAGATGACAAGGATCCACATAGTAACATTGTATAAACGGTGTTATTGACGTACCGACTTGACCGTGAAAGTAGAGGACGACTCTGTCTGCAGCAGCGAGAGCATCTTCAAAAATGGCGTCTGTAGCAGCATTGACTTTGTCAGAGGTGGTATATGCCTCCTCGTTGGTCTGGGGTTGGGGCGAGAGGGGTTCGTTGGCGCGGATTTGTTCGAGTATCGTCCTGTGTGTGTCCTTTGGAAGAATGTGCCATGCGCCCAACCGAAGTCCATCTGGAGTCGATATCTTAATATTGCGCGTTGTGAACGCTATTTTGTAGGTTGCAAGCGAGTGTATGTGAGATTAGTTCGTGAAGGAAACAGCATTGGTATATCGTGAGAATGGAGGACGTACGGGCGAGGGTGTATGCTTCGGGGGTGAGGAGTCTTGCCGGGTTCTGGAGTCGTAGCCAGTGGGCAAAGACAAGATATGCTTGTGTCCATGGGACAAAGAGAAGGATAGCAAGTGAAGTCTAAAAATCATGAAGTCGATGCAACGCAGGGAGGCGTAGTTTGTTAGCGATGAGGAGTGGGTTCACTTTTTTGCAGGTGCATGGCAGAGATGCGGCGTGTATATATGTTCACTGCTTCCAAGGGTGTTGTTGGTAGATAATTACCAGGTAGGCGATGAGGAGCAGGACCACCCCGAGGATGGCCAGCACCAATGCGGTTGTCAGTAGGTTGAGGATCATGAATTGTCGATTAGTGTTTTCTCTCTGTCTTTGTTGTTGTTGGTGTATGCGTGTGGTCTGTTGTGTTGGTATATAAGAGAGGCAGAAGAGGACGAGAGAGAAAGACAGGCGTGGGAGTGAAGGTGAATGTGGCTGTTTGTTTGTGTGTGTTTAAAGGGAGGAAGAGAAGAAAAGAAAAGAAAGAAAAGCTTTGGAGTCTTGTGCTCAAAGGTACAAAGAAAAGAAACGATTTACGTCCACAAGGCCGTTTCACGTACTCCAAGGACAAGGATGGCTTGAGCGCACTTTGCTATTGATTCTAAGATTCTTGCAAGAGCCAAAAGGAAGCCTCGGCTCTGCTTTGCCCTACCCCTTGCTGGTCATCATCACACGCGAGTGACGCGACTAAAGAAAGACAAGCGCATCATCGTCGTCATGACAGCGATAGTAAATATTTACTAGCGTAGAGACATAGACTCTAGCAACTACATTAAACTAGAGGCGTGCACGACCTGCAAGGATCTCCTGGTTCTCAGCCTCGCCAAAGGGCAAGTACCTTCCCTGGGGCGTCCACCAGTACATCCGCTCCTTGATCTTCTGCAAATCAAACCCTTCTTTCTTCAACTCAACCTTCTTGTTCTTGAACGTTCCCGTCGTCTCCAATTCCTGTTCACAGATACGAATGAATCGGGGGACCGCATACGAAGGCAGACTCTTGCCCACATATCCACTCAATCTCGAAACAAAATCCACCAATGCCGCCTCATCCACCAAAGCAATTGCTCCAGTTCCTGTAGGAGGCTGGATGATCGAGTCCTTCAAAACCAAAGCCGCCATACCCGCACGACCATCCTGTCCAGGGACCGAGACTCCATAGACAGTACACGAAGCCACACCCTCAACACGGCCCATCGAATCCGCAATCTCTGCAGTCGACACATTCTCGCCCTTCCACCGATAAGTGTCACCGGCACGGTCAGCAAAATACCAGTACTGGTCCGCGGTCTTGTACAACAGATCGCCTGTTCGCATGTAAACATCTTCCTTGGCGAGCACATTCTGCACCAGCTTGGCTTGCGACATCTTGGGCTGGTTGAAGTATCCGACATAGCGAGTGTGGTGTGTCTTGTTGTCGGCCATCGTCAGCAGCTCACCAATCTCGTTCGGTTCACACTCGATGCAGAACCCTGTCTTTTTGTCGCGGATCAACTCCTCAGTGTCGAAATCCACCTTCACCAGCCTGAATCCCGGTTGCAGCGCCCTATTCGTCCATTGGAGACACGAAAGTAGTTGAGTCACTATTTTCTAAGGATTTGACCTCATCCAACAACAATAAAAAAAGGGTTATGCTGTTTTATACCTGATGATAGGTCCACGGAAGCCGACAGCTCCTTGATCTCTCTTATTCCTGGCGATGTTCAACAAAGCTCCAGTACCTATTCACAACAGCACATTATTTGTTTACGATAATTAGCATATCATTTCAAAATCGCTTCACTTTCTTCATTTCGCACACACAAAATAAACCATACGATTGTGCTCATTACCTTCACTCATGGTGTAATACTCAAAGACGGTTGGGATGTTGAAACGCTCCTGGAACTTGCTCCAAACGTCAGGACGCATGCCGTTTCCAAACGCCAGCTTGACCTTGTGCTTCTTGTCCAGAGGGCTCTCAGGCGCGTTTAACAAGTATCTGCACAATTCTCCAATGTACTAGTCAACAAGACAGCGCGGACACGCACATATGTTAATACCGTCTTTTTTTGGGATGTGTTTTGAAGTCTGAATGAAAAGCAAGTGAAAGCAGTGCAGCATATACCTGGAAGTGACTGACGTCGTAGGCGATGCAGTCTTTCCAAAAGTTGGTGACTGAGAACTTGCGCGCCAACACAATCGTGCTTCCCGTCATGAAACTCTGACCCACTCCGATGATGGCTAATTGAAAAGAATAAAAAAAATACAACGTTAGATCTCTTTTTTACACCAAAAACGACTGAAAAATGAACCATGCCTCGCCCGATTGAACATACATCCGGCAGAGTGGTAGAGTGGGAGGGCGATGTAGACTTTGTCCTCGGGCTTGATTTGGCACAAATGTCCCCAAGATGTCGTCGCCACTAGAGAGTAAAAAGAAATGTCCCTTGGTAAGCATTCATTCCCATGCAATTGGTCTGACATGATCTCCTCACAAACTTCAACGCCGATACTTACTGGTGCATCGTCCATGATCCATAACGGCGGCTTTGGGGAATCCCGTGGTTCCACTGGTATAGATAAGCGCCGCAGGATCCTTCATGTCGATATGCTTACGAATGCTCCTAGGGAATCCTTCGGTGCTCAAGTGCTGCCACTCAACATAACCAAAGAACGAAGGCGTCTCAATCGCCTGCCGAGCATCCTCAGACAATTGGTTATAAAGCTGTCCCAGGACTTGCTGCTTGGGCGTAACAGTGTAGAGATCGTATCCCAGATCCTTGATGGCGTGAAGGGACTCTTGGATGGCAGGGGCCAATTCATAGTCAAAGACGAGCAACTTGGCATCGGCAACCTTGAGCGAATGCAAGAGGACGGGTCCTGTGATCTGGTTGTTGATGAAGGCGGGGACGACGGCTAGCTTGAGGAGCGAGAGCCAGGTTATCATGAAAAGGGGCGAGTTGTGAAGCATCATGGCGACACGGTCTCCGGCCTTGACTCCCTTGGCTACAAACCAATGGGCCTAATCGAACACAAATGTGAAAATCATGCATGCATGCAACGATTTTGTTAGTTTGCTTTGATAGCGCATGGTGGTGTAGAATGAGGGAAAAAAATATCATGACTCTGTAGCATCCGTTGCGAAAACAATGTCGCTTACCATTCGGTTCGATGCTACCAAGTGCAAGGAGTAGGCAGTTCAAGGAGGACCATAAAAGTATATGTACAAGAGCGAGTAAGTAAGTGTATGAGGTGGAGGGTGCACTCAAAGAGACACCAACAAAAACAAATAAAATGTGATCCGAACCGGGGAGGGTGGGAAAGTAAGGTTCAATCCTGCTCGACCACACATAGGTTATATCTTGCTTCATAAAGGATGATAAACGTCGATGAAAACATACCCATCTCGAGGTCGCGCCAGGTGTAGGAAGTGCCTTCGAAGCTCAGGGCGACAGCATTGGGGCGACTGTGTGCCTGGTCCTCGAAGCGGTTGTAGAGACTGCAGTCCTGATCGCGAACACTCTGTTCGAATCTGTTTACACAAAGAAATGTTGAGAGCCATGGATGGGTCAGTCTGCTCTGTGTTGTTATCGTTTCTGTTTCTTCACCCAGCACAGGAAGAGGAAGGAGGAAGAGTGTTGCTCACTCAAATCATTCAAATCGACTCTAGGTTCTTTCTCCACAAGACATAAAAAATCATACACACAGTTCTCCCACAGTCTTTTCCTTCAACTTTCTTACCCTCCTCACTACTATTTCTACCCCTGTTCCTTTTCTTTTGTTCATTTTGGCCTCATGTGATGAAAAATGTGGTTTGAACATATAATAACAAATGAGAGAGAAGACGGGGGAGTGATAATATTACCTCCTACGGGCTTTAGCTGCTCCTTTGACAATCTCAAAGTCCTTGCTGAGCTGGTATTTGCCGTTGATGTAGAATCCTGCAGCGAGCGTGGCAGCAATTCCTGCAGCAATGGGGGCTATTAAGCATTGAAGAGGTGGAAGACAGGAAGACAGGAAGGCAAGGAAAGGAGCGGTTTGGATAAATGGCATCGGTTAGGCGGAGTTGTAATGGTGGGAAAGACAGGAGTAATCTCGACGCGCTTTTTTTTTAAAAAACTTGCCCATGATGGATGGTAGAAGAAGGTGGACGATGAATGAAGAGTTAACTGAATGAACGAATGAGTTCCTGAAGGGAGAGAGGAGGGAGACAAGCGTGTGGAAGGAGAAAAGAATGGTAGGGTGTGGAGAAGAAGGAGAAGAAAAGAGAAGAAAGAAAGAAAGACAGATGTTCAGCCCTACTGCCTGCCAAATGATCACTCGCGGGTCGGGTGCAAAAAGGCGATGTGTTCAAGTGGACTACGCAGTTCATCCCCTTGACCCCATCGGTTGATATGTGTGCTCAAAGAAAGGGCCATTGCTTTTCCTTCGTGTTATTGGGATCGGAACACAAAAGAAATATCGGGTCTAGTTATACCCCACCATTGTTCCACAGGAGGAGAGGGGGAGCATGGGCCGGTCAAACATGCAAGTAAAGACAGACAAACAAACAAACAAACAAACAAACAAACAAACAAACAAACAAACATTACTGTCAACACAATAAAGAGAAGGGTCCAGCTCCAAGCCGACGAAACAAAACAGCGTCGGGTAGAATGGTTGACTGTATGTGTGCGAACTCGTCATGCAGACTACGCTCATAAAAACAACCAAAGTCATGCTGCTTATTGTTATTCCTTGACCGCCCTCCAAGCCGAATGATAAAAACCACAAACAAAGGATAAGTAATTTGCCGGACATGTACTGTACGCTTCCATTGTCCAACTGTGTTTCGTAGGAGTCCTAGGGAGGAAGTGGCAAAAGTTGCAAACAACACTTGCGTGCTGACCCCAGCAGACGTCGACGAGCCTTTACTGGGCAGAGAAGCAAGAAGGGCGACTCCAAGACTACTCCTGCGCCAACTCGGGAATCCGACGAAGGCGATCCTTAACCTCAAGGAGGTCACTTCAAGCGAAGTTTCAGGATGTTACGGACCTTGGAAGTCACCTTCGCTGACAGGAGGGATTGTCCGGACCCTGATCTTGGAGAACGGAGTTCTATGACCGCTACTAGGATAGGCTTCGCAGATGGATAATGCGAGCGATGACAACAATAATCAGCGGGAAACGGTTGCAATATCTCGTCGGCTTTACCAAGAGCGACTCGGTGCCAAGGGTCTCGACACGGTCATATCCCAATTACAGCCTCTCACCCTTGAGTCCGTCGCTGAGTACCTCAACTATGTGATCGAGAACCGCGAGGCAATCTTGAACCTCTTCTACTCATCTCCTTGGTACATCAGGAAGAGCTGGGAGAACAGCTAAGCCCAGGAGGCTCGTCTATGGATCGGTAGGGCGCAAGATTCTGGAAGGGGATCCCAAGCCGGGCGATAGCGATCGGCCTTGGACCCTTCAACACCAAAACCGGACTATCGACCAAGCACCGAAGTTGGTCAATTGCTTTGATACAATCGCCGTTATTTTGAACCCGTTTGGTGACAAGTTTGGGGTACACAATGGTCGGGCGCATGAATTCTATACGCCCTGAAATGCGACTCGTTTCTCGAATCGAATGGTGGTCGCAGCAAGTTCAGCAGGAAATGTTGCTTCCACATTGATCGCGACCCAGTCGGCTCACATTCTCCGTGCACAGCTCCAGGACCAGGAACGAACATCAGAGCACAAACCAAGCCATGATAAGGACTGAAACCCTTCTACGCATGTCTTGAACAACCTTTCAGTGTTTTAATTTGAGCGCCGCAATCCCTCACGCTTGAATATTTCCTACCATGTTCATGTTGACAACTTTCCTCACAACGGACGTTCATTTGTCGGCTAATCATTTTGGCGAGAGGGAAAGCAGGAATATATTACGTTAAGGAGAAAAACAACAAGTCTATGGTATCATATGCAAAGGAAAAAGCAAAGGCAAAAGGGGAGAAAAGGACTATAGGTACATGCGCGGAACGACCGCTGATAGAAAGACAACCAACCGTTGTCTTCTTTTTTTTTGTTTTTTGTGTTTTTTGTTATAACTTTTTGTGAATGCGGCGAGGACATAAAAAAAATGAGGTGGAAGATGTTTAAGCGGCGGGCGCGCAATGGCCAATGGCGCCAAGGAAGAGTCCAGTTTCACTTGTCTCCAGGCCATTCTCGAGGCAGGACCGTGCAAGGAGACGCTGAAGTCTCTCGTGCGATGTCCGGCATCCGTTCGCAGCAGCGCGCTCAAACCACATCGACGCCTCTTCCAGTTGTACTTCGCATCCAAGTCCCTTTTCCTAAAAGAAGATTGAAAAATTAACAACATGAATGCGCCGTTAGGAGACAATTATTTTAAATAGCCAATGCATGCATGGTCATCGTCATCACCATTTCCCTCCTTGAAATAGATAAAAAGGCATGATGCTTACCAATGCATTTGCAAGATGATATTGTCCGGCGAGGTGGCCTTGCTCAGCCGCGAGGCGGAAATAGCGAACGGCCTTCTTGACGTCCTGAGCGATACCTTGTCCGAGTTGCAGACAAACACCCAACTTGTCCTGAGCACGGGCGTGGTTCTGCGCAGCGGCGAGAGAGTAGTACTTGACGGCGAGCTCATAGTTCTGAGCCACACCAATCTCGTTGGCATAACAGAAACCGAGGTTACACTGAGCCCAAGGGTTGTTCTGGGCTGCCGACTTTTCATACCAAAACACGGCCTTTTCCCGGTTCTTCTCCACTCCAAGACCCTCCTCGTAACAGAACCCGAGTGAGTTCTGGGCGAGGGCGTTGCCCTGGATGGCGGATCGGTAGAACCACTTGACGGCCTCCTTGGGCTCCTTGGGGACACCGACACCGTTGCGGAAGCAGTATCCAAGCGAGAGTTGGGCGGGGGCGTGGTTCTCTTCGGCAGAGAGGTAGTACCAGTAGACGGCCTCGTCGAGGTTCTGCTGGACACCGATACCGTTCTGGTAGCAGTAGCCGAGAGAGTGGAAGGCAAAGATGTTGCCACGCTCAGCCGACTTCATGTACCACTTGACAGCCTCGACCTGATCCTTGGGGACACCGATACCGTTCTGGTAGCAGAATCCGAGGTTGTGTTGGGCACGGGCATGGCCCTGGAGAGCGGCCTTGCGGTACCAAAAGGCACCCTTGGCGTTGTCCTTGGGAAGACCGATGCCGTTCTGGTTGCAGTATCCGAGATTGCACTCTGCCCATGGGTAACCCTGTTCTGCCGACTTTGTGTACCAACTGGCAGCGAATTCCAGATTCTGTTCGATACCGATGCCGTCCTCGTAACAATAGCCAAGCGAGTTTTGGGCAAAGGCGTTTCCGAGTTCTGCTGAGAGGCGGTACCACTTGACGGCCTCGTAGGGGTTCTTTTCGACGCCCAGTCCATCCTCGTAGCAGTATCCGATGTTGTAGAGGGCAACGGACTCGCCCTTTTCTGCTGCAATCCTGTACCAGTACATGGCCTGCTTGCGATCCCGCTCAACTCCAAATCCTTCACCGTAGCAATAGCCGAGAATACCCTGACCGCGGGCGTTGCCCTGCTCAGCCGACTTGCGGTACCAGTGGAAGGCCTCTGTGGCGTTCTTTTCGACACCAACTCCGTCGTGGTAGCAGACACCAAGAGCGAATTGACAGCAGTCATGGTTGTCGACGGCAGCGGCTTCCATCAACCAAGCAAGGGCTCCTGGTCCCTGCTGGTTAATCTTTTGTTGCCAGTACTCTGATTCGATGCGGTCAATCTTGACAGAGGGGCGACCGTATTTGCGAAGGAAGGCGAGGCGGGAGAGGGAGAGACCGTCACCCTTCTCAGCGGCGAGGATGTAGAGACGCTCGGCCTCGACGTAGTTGGCCTCGAGACCGAGACCGAACTCGAAGCAGAAGGCAAGGACGCCCTGGGCCTCGAGGTGACCGAGTTGGGTGGCAAGACGGTAGTATTCGACAGCGGCGGGCTCGTCCTTGGCATGTCCGTGACGGCCAAAGAGGAGTTGTTGGGCGAGATCAAAGAGCTGTTGTGCTTTGCAGAGATCCTGGGGGTTGCTGATATGAGAGTTGTTGTTGTTTGAGGTGGAGTTGGAAGGGGAGTGAGCCTGTCCGGAGGGGCATGATTCGGTGGAGAGGAAGGCATCGGCGTTATGGGAGCAAGGGACAGAGGAGTAAGGACAGGAGGCAGCCGTAGCGAGGGTTGCGCTAGCTGGGATTCTGTACTTTTTGTTGAGTTTGGAAAACACACTCCGTCCACGGTGCAAGATATGCGAAGCTGACGACGACATGTCTGAGAGAATTATGAAAGGGAGGGGAGGGGATAGATAGGGAACGGGAGGAGAAGAAAAGGAAGGATGAAAACGGTGGGGTTGGTTTTGTTGTTAAGTGAGTGGGCGTATTAGCCTGTCAAAGGCTGTGAGGGTTGTGGGAAAGAAGATGGAGATGAGAAGGGAGGAGGAAGGGAGAAGAGGATGAGAAAGAGATGAAGAAGAGGGAAAGGAAGGGAAGGGAAGGGAAGGGAAGAGGTAAGGAAGAATGAGAGGATGAGGTAAAGGAATGGATGAATGGGAAAGACGAGAAGGAAGGAAAGAGGAAGATGTCAGTGAGTGAGTGCAATAGATAAAAATAAGAAGTCGATGGGTCAAGTCAAGGGGCAGAGAGATAGAGGGAAAGGGGACAGTTGTTCTTATTGTTGGGACTGGTACTGGTGCTGTGTACTGGTGTACTGGTACTGTGTACTAGCACGAGGCAGGTGGAAAGAAGATGCAATAGCAGAGAGAGAGACAGACGATAGCAAGACTAATAAACAAAGGTAGTTACCAGACAAAGGAGTTCTTTCAAGGGAGACAGAGAAGAAAGGAGAGCAGGAGTAGGAGAGGTGAAGGGGGAGTTGAAGGGAAGGGGATAGAAGAAAAGGACGCAAGGGAGGAAGGATGGAAGGGAGGAAAGAGAGAGAGAGAGAGAGAGAGAGAGAGAGAGAGAGGGCAGGAGAGGAAGAAGTGCTTGAAAGAAAGAGAGAGTGGGTGGGCTCAAGAGGTAGTCGTTGTTATGAAGACGAGAGAAGACTGTGCTGCCTTGTGCTGAGCACGACCTAGCTTGTGCGGGGGAGTGAGGGAGATAAGGGTAGGGGCAGGGGAAGGAAGGGAAGGAAGGGAAGGAAGGGAAGGGAAGGAAGGGAAGGAAGGGAAGGGAAGGAAGGGAAGGGAAGGAAGAGGAGGAAGGGATGGGTGACAATGAGAAAGAAAAAAGACTTGAACGAAACAAAAAGATAAAAGAAAAAAGAAAAAAGAAAAAAGAGAAGGAAAAACGGACAAAGGGCTTTGCGCCTGTCTATTTATTGCCTGCGAAAAAAAAAAAAAAAAAAAGGAAGGAGCCGGGTTCTCACTTGTCGTGGGTCGGAGTGCGGCTGTTAAAGTGCTTCATTTCTTTCATTGCAGGGAATCAATTAGTCGCTCAGTCTAGCCAAACTAGCCAACTGGACCCACTGGCTAGGGTCTGACTGACCCTGCTGACTGTTGCGCTGACTGACTGGCTCTGACTAGCTACCTACCTAATCATCATCCTGGGCACTATTGGTCCTGGTGCTGGGTTCTTGTCTTCTTCTTCCTCCCTGTCCTCATATCATCATCTCTCTTCCCTCACCCTTTCGCTCTTTCAATTCCATCTTCTTTTTTTTCATTAATCTTTCTTGGACTTACTCTAATGATGCCATGCAGTGCAATGCAATGCAAGGGACATCGATACACACACACTCACACACACACGCACAGGGCCCCAGCTACTAGACGTCTTGTTCGGGTATATGTCTGTCACACAAATAAAATATAAAAGGCAACGAGTATGGCGCCCACCACTCATCCCCTCTTCAAACCCCCCCTTTCGCCCAATTGTTATTAAACCATGCTATCCCTTCCTTTCTCAATTAGTTTCTCCCTTGTTTCTCTCTCTTTCTTCATCCATCGGCACAAACGGTCCCTTTCTTTCCTCCTAACTTCTAAAAAAAAAAAAAAAAAAAAGTTCCAAAATCTCACGCTACCTTTCCTTCTCCTCTTTTCTGTTCTCCTTCTCCTTCTCAAGGGATTGAAGCAGCCTACCCACTCCTGCATCCATGCCGATTCAAAACAAGGGAAAGACAGGGGAGAACAAAACCAAAAGAGGACAGTCCATGTATGTACAAATGCCTCACCCTTCTCTTCTCCATTCCCACTCACACAGATACACAGATACACAGATACACAGTATCTGGAAAGACAGGGGCTCATTTCCTTTCCTTTCTCCTTTACTGTCACATCCACTTTGACTCAACTCTAGTGAGCCAGTGTGATTGGCCTTGTGTGGAGCACCTAATAATGAGAATACTCCTCACTCATCATGCCCAGAAGCCCCTTTCATTCGCCAGGACTCATCGATGGATAAATCCACCCCCAGCCTTTTTTCTTCTTGTTCTTCTTCTCGATCGAATCCGACCAATCTTGGATCCCTTCACTTTGGAGCACATAAACAAACAATGGAAAAGAAAGAACGAACTCGGGACCTGGATTGCATATACCGGCACTGAGAGAACTCTTTCACTTTTGAGAGCCCGCCATTTTTCTCCTTTTCATCTGTGCAGTGCACCCTTCAGCACCCTTCAGCACCACGTTTTTCGACTCTTTCTAGCGCCACTAAAATTGATATGACAGTCACTTGCACTTCTTGAGCATCGCCTCATGGACCATGCGGGCTGAGAGTATTCTGAATGCCATCTCTTCCATTCGCCTTCACAAGATTACCCATTGCTCTCTCCCTCTCTCTCTCCACCCTTCTTCATTCATCACCTACTCGTCTTCCCACTCACACGACTCATTCACCACACAATGCAGTTCCGAGTACCCCCCGACAACACCACCACCATCCCCGTGAACAACCATGCCCAGCCAGGTGAAAACCCCAACACCACGCGCGTCCAAGTCGAAGTCGGAGACCGCGTCGCAACATCCCTCATCCTCGACACAGACCGCATCATCGTTACATTCGACTGCAACACCGTCAAAGTCTACAGCGCACTCACAGGCGCTCTCCTCCAAACCCTTGACGGTCATCAAGGCGGAGTTTGGGCCTCTGCTCTTTACAACAGCAATACGCTCGTAACCGCAGCGACTGATCGTACTCTCCGTGTTTGGGACCTTGAGAAAGGTGTCTGTACACACGTCTTCCGAATCCATACCTCGACCGTCCGGGCAGCCACCATTGTCGTCCCTATCAACATCAACCGACACAATCCTCAATTGACTCCCAAGTATGAGCCCGAGTTTCCTACCATCATCGCCGGGTCCAGGGATTCCACCCTCTCAGTCTGGCGACTGCCCGTCCAAGAACTCAATGGCCACCTGTCTGCAACCGAGACTGAGAACTGGCTCTTGCACCGATTGGAGGGTCATACCCAGGAAATCCGTGAAGTGGCGGCGGAAGGCAACCTGGTGGTCTCGGCATCCTATGATTCCACCGCTCGAATCTGGAACTCGCACACTGGAGAGTTGGTTCATACTCTTGTTGGACACCAGGACAAGCTCTACCAAGTTGTCTTGGATACCGCCAATCGCCAGTGTTTTACTGCTGGTTTGGATGCCACTATTCGCGTTTGGTCGCTCAACACCGGTTCTTGTTTCCACACCCTCACCGGTAACACTCTTTATTATTTTCGTATCATTTTTTTATTAGTATTGTCCGTTGTCATCCCTCGACTAACCTAAAATAGTTTAACGTCGTATATTAATAGGACATGCGTGGATAGTGGGGCTGTTGAGATTAAACGACAACCTCCTAGTCTCGGCATCTGGAGACGGGACCGTCAAAGTCTGGGACCCAACCACCGCAAACCTCCTCCACACCTTTGGAAACCATTTCCCAGGAACCGGTCCAACCATCTTGGCAATTCAACACGATGACAAGAAACTCATCACGGGTGCGTTTGGTCTCGTCCAGACTTGGGATATCAGGACAGGAGAACTCTTGGATCAGATGAGAGGAGTTGATTCTGTCTGGCAGGTTGCATTTGATCGTCGACGGCGGGTTGTGGCGTTCAACCACAAGGGACAGTCTGCCCATGGTCAGCATGCGATGACTTACCTTGAGGTACTGTGTCTTGTTCGGACTATACTTTGACACGAATAGGATACGTGATTGTCAGCTCATGCTTCTTTTATTTTCCTATTCGTGATAGATTCTGGACTATGGCGTTGACGAGGCAACTCAAGAGACCCAAGTTTGAAGGCATTTCCAGCCATCTTCAATTCGCTCTGCCAAACCCTATTGCAAGAATGCCACACCTTCATCTACACCAGTAAATAACGGCGAGTCATAGTTTTATTATTTTGCGATAGAGTCCTCTTGCTTGACTTCTCAACAACCGCGCTATTTGCTTGTCGATTAAAATGATAAGGAGCGTACTCGACTTCCAGGTCGTCAAACTGTCTACCATTCATCATCGTGGATCCACTCTGACAGAGCATCATCTTCACCACCCTCTGCTGACTCGCCCCTCTCAAATTCACTTCTGAGCCCTTGAATTGCGCCTCCAGAACCTGTACCACCACCACCACCACCACCACGATGATGACCATATCCAAAGTCGTCCTGACTGCCCAGGATAGAACTCAATGCATCCACATCCATAGGATCCGAGGGGAGACGGATCAGAGAAACACGCTGATGCTGCCGTCTTTGCTCCTGCTCGTGCGCGTGCACACCACGAGAACGAAGCTGAGAAGAAGAAGAAAAGCTGCCACCACCACGAGAGTCATAGTCGTCGTAAATGTAGCCACTGTTACCGACGGTCTGAGGGTTGGAGGCATCGCTTCGCATCAGAGTAGATTGGGAACGATGTTCCTTTTCCTGGAGAGAGATCCTGGAAGCCTGTTCTTGGTTCGCCGGGAACCAATCGAATGCAGAGACGACCGATGATTGCTTTGACAAGGTGTATTGCGTCGATACTTCTGGCGAGACGTCATTTGGGTCGATATAATCGTCCTCTTGGTTGATGCTATTGTTGTGGCGGTTGTTGTAGGTGTAACTATTGGGGCTGTTGTGGCTATTGCTCTGGTAGGGAGTCTCTTCACCATCAGAGTACAGCGGGGCGTCCATCTCCGAGGGAACCGACTGGCTGTACATCTCCACAGGCCTCTGCTCTGTCTCTTGGACACTCGTTACTCCGGAGTTGTTGTCACGACGTCGGTCGGGCAAATTCGCAGATCCATAGGTGGGGAAAAAGTGTGAGTGTGTCAATCGAGGTGCCAACGTCACATGTGGCGCTGGACCTCCAATTAGTCGCGCTTCGGCAGGGGGTATCTCTGTCGGTTGAGGTTTCACGACTGTAGGCTCGGCAGTATGAGATGCTGGAGACCTGCCACCAGGTGTAGGCGATTTCGGTAGTTGAGATGCGCTTGAGTGCTGCTCTTTGGTTGGAGTTTCCACTGGTTGAAGACCTGTCTCATCAATAGCAGCTGAATTGATATCCATCGCATAAATCCCTGTCGCTCGAGCATCCGTAGTTGCAAGGAATGCAGAAGTGATCCCTATGTCTCGGGTCTCCAAACTTCTGTTGTCAGGTTCTCGAGGGTCCTTTAATGAAGGCTCTTGCGGATCTTTGATTTCTCTAGGCGCGATTGAAAGCGATTGACGCGCCTGAGAGTTTGTCTCCACTTGGAACTGTGACTCCTCAAAGTTTGGCATCGCTTGATCAACCGGGGCTGAAGAGTCTGCGAAGACAGATGTAGGAGAAGTAGGCTCAACAACTGGCGGATCAGCGCCTCGTGAAAGTGTCGTCTTGCTTGGCATGTCCGATCCATGGCCCGAGTTTCCTTCAACAGGGTTGACTGTCTGATGTTCCGCAATCGTCTCAGTGTACACTGGGGTAAGGTTTCTACTCAAAGAAGCTTCATCCGCCGGCGTAACTCTGTTCTGACCAGTCTCTTCCTTCGTGATATCCTCTGAGTGTGGTGGGGTTTCGATGACGAGTTCCTTTGCTGCTGATTCCTGGGGTTGGATGATCATGTTGTCTACATCAATATCGATCCTGCTTCTCTTGGTTTGCAGCTCCCGGCATACAGCCCTGTGCTTTGCCTGGCAGAATAAAAACATGAACAGACATAGCCGCTCAACATACATTTAATAAATTCGTAAGTAACACAGACATCAAAACTTTGAGCGACAGAGAAGAATACATACCGGGACTTGGAGAAGCTCGTCTTCATCACCTTCATCCTCGTCGTCGGCACCGGAATCGCTCGGCGAATAACCAGCATCATCATCCTCCACACCATGAGTGCGACCACTGTGACCCGCCCTCCTGACAGCAAATGATTGGTGAGCTCTCTTGCATGGATTCCTGCTAGTCTGATTTGGTGGCGTAATATTCCGCTCCAGGAGCTCCGACGGCCGCAGCTGGTATGCTTCACCGAGCCAGTCAAACGACGGCGACTTCAGTATCTTGAGGCACTCTAGTCTTGCGGTGTGGTAGTCCATGGTGCCCACTAGAAGAAAGAGCTTGCGTTAGCGTCTTGCGGTCTTTACGAGTATCTGCAAAAGCCATATTCATAGTCGCAAACGAGAAAGAAAAAAAGAAGCTTACAGTCGAGGCCTCGCGCCACCAAACTCGTATCTCCTTGGGTTGACCGTCCAGAGGCCAACGACGCCCTTGGCGAAAATCCAGCAGCCGTACTGGTCGGATCCTGTTGTCGCACCTGATGAGCATCGCATGTCTTTGAGGCAGCACTCCCATCTGTTTCCATCTTGACAAAAAGTGGGCTAAACTTTTCGTTACTCGGACGAGGCGTTCGATGTCTTGCGGTCAGGGGGCTTTGGGATGGACTTTGGCCATGGTCAGGGATGATAGACGATCGTTGCTGGAGATCTTGATAGTAGGTTGCCCTGGCCAACCTGCACTGTCGATCAAAGCGCTGCCGCCGGCGCATTCTCTCTGCGTTCGCCTGGATCTTTGTTCTATCAGGAGTGTGACATCACACGTTTTGATTAGTAAGATCAGCGCATCCGATGCACCTGTTTGCTGGAGAGCCGTGTTGAAAATATTTGACGTTACCTTCTTCCACCAGTCCAGTTCATTTTGTGTATGTGTGCATGTGTGCGACGCGAGAAGTATGGTGGAATGGACGAAAGGGAAAAGAAAAAGAAAGAAAGAAAGAAAGAGGGAGAAAAGGGAACAATTTTGGTGGCAAAAATGTATTCAAAAAGTGACTATGGTACAATATTAGGTGGAAAGGGGAGAGCGAGGGGAGGACTCGCCACTGGCAAGCCAACGCATCATCAGGGCTCCAATGTAGGCCATCCACTCGTCAAGGCCCAGGGTTGGAGGCATGTCGCTCCATATCACATCGTGCTCATCCTGGTCATGCTCGTCGCCACAACTGCTAGAATGCGATGGGCTCGAACCTCCAGCCAACGACATTCTCGGGAAAGAGCTGGGTATCCTGTTCTTGTCATCCTGACCGTCTCGTCGGAAAATGGAGCCACCGGGTGACCCGCTACCACCACCCATACCTTCCATGGGATCAACTCCACTGCCATAGCTCGACTGTCGTCCATGGTTAGCCTCTGGGAAGATGATACTGCTGGGCATCGAAAAGGGGTCTAGCATGGTTGCCTTGGAAGCTGAGGTTAGCGACGTGGCTGGACTCTTGGCTAAAAGGGTCATGGCAGATCCATGTCTCACGTATCCGGATGATGGGGGTGATGCTGACGACGACGCTGCTGAGCTTGTGTATCCCAATGTCGTAAGAGTCATTGGAGTGAATGAGCGCATGCCTCCGAAGGACTCGACATCCATAGTATTGGCTTCTGGTACTGGAGGTTGAGCGCCAGAAGGTCCAAAGGTTGCTGTTGAGATAAGCATCATCGGGTCAGAGCCAAAGGAGTAAGACTGCTTGTGCGACTGGCTACTTCGGTTCAAATTGGACGATGAAGACGCCGGCGTGGACGATCCAGAAAACGACTGAATCCGGTCCTCGCGGTACATGGGTCTGTTCCTTGATATGTCCTCTGCAAGAGTCTCCTGAGCAATGTCCATCGACTCTTCAGCCTTGTCGCCATTGCCCATGGTCTCATCCATACTAGAGCTCCTCCTGTTCTGCATCCGGTCGTATTCCTCGTCGTTGGCCAAAAGAGACTGGATGGCCATCATCTTGGAGCGGCACTTTTGGCGGAGCTGGTCATGTCCTTCACGAGGGACCGCCAAGGCTTGACCATACTTGATGCCCTCAACCACCCAGTCTGGCATCAACGGCCTCGTTTGGAAAGAATCCACCTCCAAATCCTTGAGACAGACCTTCTTGAGATCCAAGAGATCCTCCAAGACCTTGGCACGCCGAGCTGCACTGACCCAATGGCTCGACAAGAACTTGAGGGCATCGATGCATCGCTTCATGTTGGCCTTGGCCGCTAGCGCAGTAGGTCCAGAAACTGGAGAATACATAGCAACGACGGGTCGGGTAGAGGACAAAGTCGGGCTTGAATAGTTGGACGAGACACTGCCCCGCTTGGCGCTGGGGATGTTGATGAAATGGATGAGTCCTGCCGAGAAGATCGCATAGAGACAGCTGATGATCATCGACGTCAGGGCATTGGCCCGCATCAATATCTCTGTGATCTCTGTAATGGCTGCTGCTGCTTCCGTACACAATGATGCCGATGTCGCGCTGTAAAAAACGTCGGGCCGGTGAAGAAGAATAATCAACGTGTTGTAGGTCATGTGGAGGAACAGTCCATAGTGAGGCGAGTCAGCCGTAGGGTTCTGAAGAGCTGGGGGGAGTGTCTGTCTCCACTCTGTCAGAGATCGATCCAGGGCAGCGAATGCTGCTGGGCTGGTGTCGACGCGGTAGGCGCGGTCCTGATCGCTGGTACTGCTGAGATTCGGATGCGAGGGAGATCCTTCATGCGATTGCCGATGGTCGTCGTTGCGGACAGCGCGGGCTTTGATGAACTGGAGAATGTTTCCTTGGATGCTGGAGAGGGTAATGAGGAGTACAAAATTGGAGGCAGTACCGACACACCCAACTAAGGATCCGTCTGGCAATCCAATCTCTGGCTCTGGCTCATCGTACCGAGGAAACCCAGTCTCGCAATGCTGTTGTGTGATGGAGAGTGGTCTAAAAAAATTCCGCAAATAAAACGTTAATTGCAATGTTAATTTTTGCAGGGTCCCAAGTGTGTGTGAGCAAATGCACGATGGCGTAAACAAACTTGTGGTAGTGGGCTGTGGTATATTTGTGTTACCTTCCAAGGCCTGCACAGACAAGACGTTCAACGACATAGCACGACCACCAAGTCCTGCGCCTTTGTTCAGCCAAGACAGGGTTCCTGATCTGCTCCTGCTCTGAAAGTTCACAGTTCAGTCCAAGATCTTGAGCCATCCGGATCGCCATGCCGACATAGAGCCACGCCCGCTGACTTTCGCAAAAGCCCATCTGCTGAATGGCCATCAGCAATAATGCCTGGACAGTCCCTACTTGCGAGTTGTCGTACTCGTCCTTGATCAACTCCTTTGCTCGCTCGTAAAAGATGGTGCAGGGAGGCCGATCTGCCCCTGGTTGAGGGGTCCTGAAGACGGGGTTGTCACTGAAACGCGATGCCAATCCCAGGACTGCAAACAACAGATGAGCAGGTGGTGGATCTGGTCCATGGAGTTGGTCGTAGAACGACTTTCGGTGAAGCATAGGAAGGACTGGGTGGACAAAACGAAAGTGAATATCGAACAGGTGATCCATGACTTCTGATGAAGGCAAGACAAGTCTCGATTCCTGCGGCACAATTTGGCGCGGCATAGCCATGTATCCTGTCAGAGGGTCAACGTGGGTTGGACGGTCTGAGGCCAGGGGGCGATAAACAGAATCGGATCCCTTCCTTGGGGTATACATTGATCCTGATCCATTCCTTTCGTTTCCTGCCCAGGACGCTGAGGGGTATGTTTCCGTCGATGAAGACGAAGAGTGGTATCGGTGTGACACAGCCAAAGGTTCGTGGGCTGCGTCGGGATGCTGTTGGTGAGTAGGGTGTTGGTAGTGCTGCCAGTTTCCCGGACTTTGAGGCAGTTGGTGGGCGTGGTGACCAGGCTGAGTACTGTGAGAATGAAATTGTGAGACGGGCTGTTGTAGTGGGTGATGCGGCTGATATTGATATTGTTGGGCTGAGGACGACGAGGGCATGAACGTCGGAGCATTGTGTCCATCTGTTGACGGCGAATGGGCGATATTAGCAGACCCGGATCCAGATCCGTTGCGACCGTGTTGTTGATAATTATTGTAATGAACAGTGTGTTGCTGGTGGTGGTGCTGATTCCTCGATTGCTGGGTGTTTTGTGTCTGTGATGGTTGCTGCGACCTGTATGGGTGAGAATGTTGCGGCTGCGGCAGTGGCTGTTGCTTAGACGTGGAGATATGTTCCGAAGACGACGAGGACGACTTTGATTGCTGTTGGTGGGGCTGTCGATCCATCGGGCTGGCATCTGAAACGATTGCCTCCTTTTTCACGGTGGAGGCGTTTGCCTTTGACTCGGCAGTAGTGGAAGTTGAGGTAGATATTCCCATGGCCTAATTGTAAGTGTGTGTGAGAGAGAGGGAAGAAGATGCTAAAAAGTAAGGTTTTCTGACTGGCTCACACCTCGGAGAGAGGGTAGTTCGGCTTAGATCTGATTGAAAAATGGTTGCTTGTCTTACATAGGTCATTTCCTCATAAGCCTTGGATCGGCGCAACTTTAGTCCGGTCATCTCGGCCTCGCGCGCCATGGCATCGAGCTCGGCCCTGACAATCTCTGCGCGAGGGTCCTTGTCCTTGACCAGTCCGCCTAGCAGACCTTCCATCCTGTGAAGTCGGGCTTCAATTGCCTCAATGTATCCTGGTTGTCAGGATTGAAAAGGTTTGAGAGGTAGTGTTAGTAGTCTAAGAGGAATATCAAGATCCAGGAGAGAAAAGTAAATCAAGTATACCTTTTGGAGGTCCACGCTTCTTGGTCGGGTCGTTGTAGGTGCCTGTGGAATCGATTTAAGCGAAGAAGGGACGTATGGAAGGGGAAAAAGAAAAAAAAACTTTTTTATGTGAGCAGAGGGGAGGCGGGAGCGGGCAGCGGAGTGATCTTTACTCTCCCGGGTAAAGTTTTGTCGGATGCGCATTTGTATAGCTAGTCAAATACGGTTGGGCTGTACTCCTCGTCGGTTCCCAACAAGTCTTTTTTGGTCGCACGTTGACCAACTTGTTTGATTTTGCATACAGACAATCAAGAAAGGCACTTACAGTCGTAATGGAATGTCTGGCAATTGGAGCAGATGGGGTGCAGGGCATCTACCATTTTTCATTATGATTATGCGGACAAAAGAGGGATCGAACAATTATGTGTGTGAGCGATTTGTCTTTTTTTTTTTTTTTTTTTTTTTTCTTTTTCTTTTTCTTTCACTCCGAGGCATGAAAGTAGGTGGCATAGACAATGGATATAAAGGACAAGAAAAGAAAAACTTGAACACATTGAACAGACACAAAAAGGGGCCATCCTGCACGGGTCAGGGAGGCGAGTTATTTTCTTACCGCATTTGACTTTCTTGCGTCGACACGAGTCGCAGGCCTAGGTTGTAAGTTGATCCGGAGTCATCCATTTTTGTTGTACTCTTTGTTAGTAACATGTTTTTTATAGGATCTTCATTGAAGTTTGTCCTGTTGTTTGCCATTGTGACGATGAGAAAAAGAATGCAGAGTGGGGCCAAGTAAACTAGACCCTCCCTCTTGTTTCTTGGTGATGTCACATCGATGTTGCTGTTCTTGATTGAATTGGGTCTGTTCTCAAGTGCATTCGGATGAAGGTCGAGTCCTGTCTCTCCTGCGAACGAATCCTGGCGTTGCGTTTGTCGTGGGGTCTGTTCCAGTTCTAGGGGACTGACTGGCTGAGGCTGAAGCAAGGTTGGTTTGTTGCTTGTTTGTTATTGCGTTGAGTCTGAGGAGATCAAACTGGAACCGATAGAAATCATGGCTGCAGCGGGAACCAACAAACCAACCATCGAACGTGTTGTTGGGGAGCAAAGGCATGTTCACTTATCATACGATTGAAGATTTCGCACTCCATGCTGTTGCCCTCATATAACGAAGTACTAAACTGACAAACGGTGGTGTTGTTGGGAGTGGGCTAGGCCACAGTGGCAGTGGAGGAGGGTTTAAGTGTACCTTTGAAACTCGGAGTCGCTTGATATCCGTCATTTTGAAAAAGTTGGCAGCCGTTTCCTGTCTGTGTTTGAGTTGTTGTTGTTTTAGTTTGGCGGTGAAGGAAAAGAAGAGGCGTGTGTGTCGGGAGTGGAAGAAGTCGAGAAGTCGATTTAAAAGGAGGAGAAGGGAAGGGAAGGAGAATGAGTTTTCCGGATGATCTTTTTTAGCGAGAAGAGAGAACGACGGGCGAGGCTGAAGGGGAGGTAAAGGATGTAAGGAAGGAGAGAAGAAGAAGAAGGGCAATGAGAGTGAATTGAGTCAAAGGGCGAAGGGCGGAGGGATTGAAGTAGAGAAAAAGCGACAGGTGTTGCGAGTGGGCGATGTGGATGGATTAAGAATGAGAAAGTGAGCAAAAAAGGAGGAGGGATGGGTCGGAGGGAAAGGGTTAAAGGGGATTGACACGAGGGCGGGGGGAGAGGAGGGTGAGAAAGAGAATAAAGAAAAAAAGGTTAAAAGAAGGAAGGAAAGAAGGAAGGAAGGAAGGAAGGAAGGGAGAAAGGAAGAAACAAAACAAAGGAAAGGACGACGAGAGACAGGACAGGGTAAAGAAGGAAGAAGAAGCAGAAGCAAAAGGAATGGCAAATCAAGGCAGAAATGACACGAGATCTCTCTCTCTCTCTCTCTCTCTCTCTCTCTCTCTCTCTCTCTCTCTCTCTCTCTCTCTCTCTCTCTCTCTCTCTCTCTCTCTCTCTCTCTCTCTCTCTCTCTCTCTCTCTCTCGCTCTCGCTCTCGGTCAAAAAAACCACCTCTACCTCGCTTCTCTTTTCGCTGTTTTCACCTCTTCCCTCTCTTGCTTTTGGCTGCGATCATCACCCTTGTCAGAGAAAGGATGACGGTGGTGACAAGCGATATACGTGTGTGTGCTCAACTACATCCCTGCTTGGGGCATGGCCAACACAGCCAATATGAGGGCCTCGACCCAGCAACAAAATAATGCAACACTTCTGAAAGCTAAAAAGGAGAGGTCAACAAAGAAAGGTTGAATACCCGAGCGAATCGGGTGCAACGATAGCAGGATCCGACTTTCTTTTTCTTCTTTGCCTTGCCCTTTCGTACCCCTTCACTGTTCTTGTTCTATCTCTCTCTGGATACCGATCTCTACACCCCGGGGATGATCGTGTACATCCTTCACCAAGAAGGGCCACTGACGTGTGTGTCCTGGCGATATGTCCTTCAAAACAGTAATGCACGGCCCAGCTGCTGCTCTCGGCTGAAAGATTATCCTCTTTTTCTTTTTGACGTCTTTGCAGGAATAGAGGACTCGTTCAATTACATGTCGCCTTCAATCGTCCGCAAACGCCACCACTCTCTTTCACTCAACACAACTTTGACTCCCTCTCTCCAACCAACAGCCCTCTTCACACCCACTCCTTTCTCCTCCATTCTCCTTCCGCCACTTCTCTGTCACCACCAGCCTCATACCAACACTCTCCCACATTCATATACTCAGGAACACAGACCAACCATGTGTGGCAGGACAGCTCAAGGACTGGTAACTCTCAACCTCATCACTCCATTATAAAACATAGAACCGTCTATGCATGACAATGACTTTTTTTCGTTTAAACTCCGTTTCTGACGTTTCTCCTCTTTTTAACTTAGGCACCTGGCCAAATCAGACAGCAGCTGGAAAACACTCTGCCAAGCAAGCCCGCAGACACTTGGATAGGCGAAGACAAGTACCGCATATCGTACGTTCTCCATTTCCAAGGATGATCACAGCTCTGCACATTTCGTGATAAAGTTTTTTCGACTGACATTGGTTGACCTGAACCTTCAACAGACACAATGTGCCACCTACGCGATATCAACCAGTTGTCCGGGCAGACTCAGCGACAAGGTCATATGTCGTCCATATGATGGTAATTATTTGCTCTACCTTCGATTGTTCCACGCCTGCTTACAAAACAGCGCCAAGAGAAACTCGTTTCTAACTTTCTACCCTTGCCTACTGCCATAATTGATGTAAAAGAGATGGGGATTGATCCCACGCCACACGCAGTCTATGCCCGAATACTCATCGGTCCTCAAGTCGATCAACGCTCGGGATGACTCGCTGTTTATGGGTCCCTCGGGCAAGGCCATGTTCAACCATTCCAAGAATCACAAACGCTGCATTCTCCTCGCCGAAGGGTTCGTTTTCCCCCGCTCTTTATTTTGTTGTTGAAACTTACACCGTTCATTTATTTTCGTCCGCACTTTCTTAACACGTTTCATGTCTCGTTTTTTACTTCATCGCTTAGGTTCTTCGAGTGGAGGAGACGAGGAAAAGAACGCGTACCATTTTACACACGACGGCGAGACGGGAATATGATGTTGATGGCAGCCATCTACGACGTGGCAAAAATCAAAGAAGAGCCGGAACCCATGTACACCTACGCCACTATTACCACCAATGCATCACCACAACTCGACTGGCTGCATGACCGCATGCCCGTCCTTATCCCCAACAACGATCACGACAAAATACGAGCCTGGCTTGATCCCAACCTAAAATGGAACTCAACACTGGAGGCCATGCTGAAACCCTGTGACGAATTCATGGAGCCTAGTTCAGAGGGTGGGAATGAGCCGGTCTATGCTTTGGAGACCTACCAAGTGGACGAAAAGGTCAACAGTGTCAGGAACGACTCGCCGGATCTCGTAAAGCCTTGGAACTCCAGCTCCAACAAGAAGACTCTGAATAGATTCTTTTTTGCAAAGCCAGAGCCAACGTCGAGCGAGCCATCTCAATCTGCACCAACATCATCGACCTCGACACCCCTCAAGAAGGATGGCCACTTGGAGAGTAAGGACGGAGTAGGCGACTTTGACGAGCCGTTTGACTATGCGGACGATATGGCTGTTGTGGGTGACTCTGAGGACAACTCGGTGAAAGACGAAGAGGAATTCGAGCAGGAACAGGTCTCGGTCGGGGCAGATGCTTCCAAGCGAGATGAAGGATTTGAGGAGCTGCAGGAGCAACGGCAGCAAGGACGGACCGTCTTGTCATCATCTAGTCAAGACAACGATGACCCTGAGGACCGGGACTTGGCACTGGCTTTGAAGCTCTCTCGCCAAGCACAATACAATTACCAGCCCGCCGCCTCGCCCTCCAATCGTACCGCTTCAATACCCGATTCGCCTTCTTCTCCTTCTACTCGAATGAACAGAGCCGCGGTGGATAGTCCTACCCGGAGTGTCTCACGGAAGATGCAGGCCATCAGTTCGTCCTTGACTGGCTCGGTCGATCTTTTGGAGAAGCGGCGTCAGCAACGCAAGCAAGAGGAAGACGAAATGGAACAGGTTTTGGAGCTGTCGCGACTGCAGGCCATTGGGGACGGTCACGAGGATGTGGACGGCGAAAACAACTCTCAAGACAGTACAACACGATCAACTGCATCCGAAGCGCCTCCATTTAACAACGAAGAACACACTCAAGATGATTTGGAACGTCGAGAGGCCGAGGAACTGGAAAAGGCTATCGCAGCCTCCTTGAACGACTCGGCCAATGCAACTTCACCGACATCATCACCTTCATTCAGCACATACGCATCACCTTCTCACCCAAAGAAACCGGCGCAGCCTCAGTCTCCGACTGCTTCTCCTCTGAAGAGAAAGTCAGCCACCCAGTCTTCGCCCTCTTCACCTGCTGGGTCGTCACCTATGAAGCCCGCTAAGAAGGGCAAACCTTCTCAGGACGTCAAGATTACCAGCTTTTTCCAGCACACAAGTCCATCCTAGCTAGTTAAGGCCCTTCACTGACTGTACTATGTCATTCGCAACTGTTGTCATTTTGATTATATGTTTTGTATAGTGTTTTTGTACTTTGGAAAGGAGATGCAATGGGCAATAAAATATGTGTCTATCTCCCAATGGCATCACTTGGTATCATCCGATGGGGGGGATATGAGGCGCGCGTAGCTCTATGTACTAAGGGTGTGGCTTAAAATATGCTTCCTCTCCGTTTGTTTTATTTATGGAGGAGATCCTGAGAGTGGTCCTGAGAAAAAGGACAAACGTGACAGAGTCTATAATGGGAGGAAGATGGAGCAATGATTAATAAAGTACATTCAGAATGTTGCAAAGCAACAAACATTCATTCCCTTAGCTCCAGGAAATATGACAACGTAATACCTCGGCAAAGGCGGCAATGAATCCTGGCTCTTGCTCGTCTCCAGAATCACTTAGCTCTGCAAGGATTCCAGTAGGATCTCCTTGGTCATGATCATCGTCACCGCTGCCGTGGTCATACTCGTTCCGATCGCTCTCAGATCCAAGCATATCCATGTCGGCATCTGTGTACAACGACTTTTTGCTCCTCATCCTGCGAGAATGAACAAGTGTCTTGCTGTCGTGCGCCCTTCTGGGTTTCGCCTCGGTCGATCCTGGTGTTGATACTTGGGAGGGGGCTCCAGTAGGGACCAGAGCTCGACGCGCTTCGGAGGTTGAAGTCGACGTTGAAACCGTGGCTGTGTTATTATTATGGTGGCTAAGGTGAGACTGGTGAGAGTGGTGTCCATGCTTTGAATGGTGATGTGACGATTTCGTGTGATCTCGGCTGGTGCGACGTCCTCCGCTGCCAGCACCGGCTTCCTTGTCCTTCTTGGAGGAATGATGGCGACTGCTCCTGCGCTTTGATGATAGATGAGGTGGGATTTGGTTACTCTGGCTGTAGCATCGTTCTAGTTCGCCAAAGACGTTACCCCTGACTCCCGGGAGATGGAAATGTTGATGCAAGTGCTGCTCAGATGGTGGATGCTCGCCATGGGCCGTCATGTAAGGTGGCGGTGATGCTCCTGGTAAGGGACCTCCGGCAGCATCCTTGAGTTTCGACATCGACAAATCTTGGTGCTCAACCATGGCGGTTCCCCAGGTGCCCTGAGAGATGGTTAGGTCACCAGGACTATCCTGCATGAAGCTGCCTCCGCAGCATTCAAATCCATGGCCTTGTTCATAATCTTCAATCTGTGAACGAAGATCCATCACTTCGTTCCGAGAGTCCTGCAGCAGATCCCGGTACTCGGTCAATTCTGATCTCAGAGTTGAGTTTGCTGTAGCCAGTTCCTTGATGAGCGAGATGAGCTGGTTCTGGGCGGCCAGGGGTGGATCGGCGATAGATGATTGATATGGCGGTGATGATGAGGATGAAGGCGACTCGGATCTGACAATGTTGATAGGCGTAGATCCCTGTTGCAAGGATTTCTCCTGTTGAATGGCTTGTCCGAGGCTGCCTTGGGGTGGTGAACATAACCGGTCGGTGGTTTCCTTGAGCCATGCCACAGCCTCCTTGGATTCCCTGGCAACATCAACGTCCTGTTGCTGGCGACGCAGTTGATCATGTCGCTGTCCAAGGGTCTCAAACTTTGTCTGGATGGTGAGTAGCTTTTGCTGAAGCGTCCGTTCCGATCGCTGGACCTCTCTCAATTCATCCTGCAGCGCATCAATCTTGAGCCGACCTGCATCCTCCCGCTCCTGTAGGGCCTCCCGTTTGATACGCTCAATGCGAAGGAGGTCCGAATCCTTGAGGCCATCCTCTGTCTCCTTGGTGAGCGAGAATAGCTTTTGCTCGGTGTATTCCAGCTGGCTGGACATAAGCAAGAGTCGCTTGGCTGTCCTAGCCTGGTCACTAATGGCGAAGAGGCGGGACTCCTCCAGGTCCTGGTTAATCCGTGTGAGATCCCTGCTTGCCTGGGTGACTTTTTCAATCTCCAGAACGGCTAGCGTCAACTGAGGAAGGAGGGGTACGTTGATGCATAAAAAAAAAAAGATGGAGCATATTTTTTCATGTGAGCGATGGGATGGCCTCCGGTTAAGGTTGTTTTTGTTGTTGTACACCAACATGCTCGGTTGAGCAAAAAAAAAAAAAAAAAAAAAAAAAAAAAAAGAGGGCTGAGATTCGACCCCACATCGGTACAATAAGAATAAACGCACTCCATGTTCGTGACATACCTCGCGTTGTAGCTCGTAGATAAGAGGTCTATGATCCCTGCCGCCAATACCATTATCTACTGTCAATTGAAAGAACGAAGAGGGCAAGAAAGCTCTGGTCAGCATGCTAAGTTTTGTGCAACTGAGCATAGAGTGCAAGAAGAACACCACCCGACACACCCACGCGGACGACAAACATCGTGAGTGGTAAAGATAGACGAAAAAGTAACCACTAAAGAACAGTTTTTGGTTGCAAAAATAGGGGCGACAGTAAAAGCGAAGAGAGAGTGGGCGAGAGAGAAAGGGGGAGAGACAAAGGGAGGGAAAATCAAGGAAGGAGGTGTTGGACAAGCTATGTTGTGTTTTAAAGGGCTTGGCTCTTTGGTGTAATAGCTGGTCTTGGCAATGGAGCGAGTACAGGAAGAGAAGATTACCATCGAAAGGAGGGGGATGTAATGAGAGCGGGTGTCGGGCAGAGAGGATCCAATGTGGACAGGAGTGTGCCTGGATACAGTAGCAGCCTTCGGAGTCTGATGTTGCTGTTGTCATTGGATCCGAAGGTGAACGAGGAAGGGGAAGGTAAAAGATGGAAAGGAGGATGTACTGTCGCTGTTTGTAGTTTAAAGTAATGCGTATTTTATGATGGGGTTGCGATGGATCGGGTCAGGGGGAAGGGGAAGGGAAGGGGAAAGTGACAATGGTAATGGGGTGGCGGTAGTTGAAGACGAAAAAGAAGTTGAAAAAGGGAAGAAGGAGGGGACGAGAGAAGCAAGCAGAGGGAGGAAACAAAGGGCGAGTGAGCGAAGGAAAAGGAGGAGAGGAGAGAAGAAGAGGAAGGCGAGGAGGAGAGGAAGATGCAAAAAGGGGAGCAAGGGGAGTAAGAGAGAGTGGGGTGTATGTTTGTATGCAAATTATTAAGAGCGATGGATGATTGGGACCATGCACACACGGACACACCCTGTCAGAGCGGTCTGCCAAGCGGCAATATTTGTCTACGCGGTGCACTTTGCTAGTGATAGTTCCTGAGACGATTGATTGGCTGCGAAGAATATTACCTTTGGCGGTGCTCCACTCAACTCCAAGAAGGTCTCTTCTACTTTGCTTCTGCGGCGCATCGATAACAGTCGAATGTCCATCCTTTCTTAATAAAGACGACGCTTCTCTCTTTTCCTTCTTTTCTTTCTTCTCCACTACTTCTCACACACATTATTCTCCATTGACAATCTTCCCCTCATATACCCTCCCTCACACAATGGACAGCTCAGACTCTCCTCCGCTCTCTCCTGCAGTGCTCGGCAGCTTGAGGTCACTCTCAGTCTTCTTCCTCCCAAAGGATCTCATCGACACCCTTACCTACACAACTCCCGATCTCGCCGTTCATCCATCAACACCACTCCTTACCTCCGACGAACAACCAGACAAGATCCTGTCCTTGCCTCTCAAAGTCACCCCTTCCTGCCGCACCTGCGCTGTGCCCATGTTTGCATCTGTCGACAAGCAGCGTGAGCACGTCAGATCCGATTGGCACCTCTACAACCTCAAACAACAACTCTTGGACCAACAAGCTGCGCCCATTTCCTTTCACCAGTTTCAGGAAATGATCCTCGCCGCAACCGCCATGACGACTGCCCCTTCAACTACAGCCTCGCACAAAACCATTCCACGACAATCCTCTCAATCAACGACCTCAACGTCAGTGGTGCTCTACAAAAGCTCTGAAGTTGCAGTCCAGACCCTTATGAGCCAGCTCGAGATCAACGTCAAAGAAAAGAAGCAAGCTCGAGAATCTGATCCTTATTTGATACGCCAGAGGATGCTTCAGGAACAGCAACTCCAGGATATCCGCCGGTCTCCTATGCTCTGGTTCTCAAGCACTCTGTACGGCTCTTTTGTCCAGTTCGGTGTGTACAAGAACGCTTTGACCAACAAGGGCAACTGCGATCACCTCGTCGAGCACATCAAGTCCATTCAGATCCCAGCACCACCTTCGCCTCCAAAGAGGGTAAAGGCCAAGCGTGCTGTTAGAGCCAAGGCCAAGACTCTCCTCGAAAGTCAACAAAAGCAGCAGTCGGAACACTCGGAAGAGACGGAACAGGATGTCATCTCGGCACTTCAAATGGATCTCGAAAACGCAGCAGGAGCAGCAACACCAACACCAACAGTCGACAACACAGCACTCATAGAAGCAACCCCGACTCACCAGCCTGCTCCTACCGCTAATGCCTCACCTCGCTATTGGACAATGATTCTCCTTGGCGGAGGACATTTTGCTGGTATGATCGTCGATCTGCTAGGTCAGGCCAAGAAAGCCCACAGCCAGGGTAGCCACACTAGCGAGCTCAAAATCGTTGCCCACAAAACCTTCCACCGCTACACTGGTACGTCCTTTGCTACATCGACGTTCTACTCACAACAGTCGATCACTTTGTTCAAATCACCGTTTGCTAACAAGCTCAGTAAATTTCTCTTCCATATCGAATACTAGTCCGAAGAAAGAATGGAGGCGCCCAATCGTCTTTTGGCGCCGCCAACTCGGCAGGTGCGATGGTTCGTATGTACAATGAGAGAGCGCTGAAACTGGAGGTCAGAGAACTTTTGGAGGCCTGGTCGGGTTGGATTTTGCAGAGCGAGTGTGTGTTTATGCATGCACCTGGCAACAACAAGCGAACCGTCTTCTACGAGGACTCAATCATGAGTCGTGTTGACCGGGAGGGTCTTTTGCGGTCGTTCCCGTTTATGACGAAACGCCCCACCTTGACAGAGATCAAACGCGCGTACCAGGAACTCACCACTGTCAAGATTATGCAGCCACCCAAGGAAGGTCAGTTAAACGAGGGTGTTGACCAGACAGGAGCGGTCGCTCCCAGGACAGTGTCTCACACCCCGGTCGGTGTTGCATCAATCACTGCAGGAACGGAGACAGTCAAGACCAAGCCTGTTTCTACACGATCTGTTTCTGCGTCACTGCTCAAACTCGCGGAGTTAGTCAAAAAGGGACGTGTCGAAACCATCGACAACCATTTCGCTCGAACCCGCCTGGATCCATCGCAGATGCTTCCCAAAAGCCCTCGCCAAGAATATGATCAGCGAAGGACACCTACGCTGCTTCACCTTGCATCTTTCCATGGCCAGTCCCAAGTGGTGCAACAGCTTCTGGAGAAACACGGCGCGGATCCAACGGCTACTATCCCCTCCTTGATTAAGCGCATGGACAAGACCCTCGAACCAGTTACAGACGAATTACTCGATCTCGCCATCACTACTAAACCCTGGACAGCGTATGAGGTGGCCAAGGACAAGGAAACACGAAATGCGTTCCGCAGAGCTATGGCAAAAATTCCCGATGCATGGGACTGGGCTGGCCTGGCCCGTGTCCCATCCGCCCTGACCCCTGAGATGGAAGCAGAGTCGCAGAAACAAGGCAGATCCAATTCCAACGGCAGTAAGAGATCTGGGAATGAGAGCGATGGCAATGATGAGGTGGCACAAGACGTTCAACCAGAATCAAGTGTCGTATCCTGTCGATCAGAGACCCCTCGTCCCTCGGTCCAGGAGAGTATGGCTGCTGATCGCGAGAAACGAGCCCAAGCTGCGGAGACGAGACGCTCTGCCCAGCTCTCGGCAAGAGCCATCCGCATGGCCAAGCCCAAGAGTAGGGATGAGTGTATGAGCTGCGGATCTGATTTGGCGGCACTCTCACCCTTTGAGCGATTCGACCACCAATGCAACAAGCAGTCCAAACTGGGCCGCAACTGATTAAAGAAAATGAAAATGCTTAATTGTTTCACTGATCAACATCGCCCCAATCCATCACTTATTGCCTCGTTCTTGTTCTTCTTGTTGGTGGCGATTGTTGCTGGTGCATGCCTTTGCCCATTTTCTGTACTTTGTACCTTTGTGCCTGTGTGCGGATGAATGTGTGCCTGAGACTAAGCCACGGGCATGTCTCCTGACCCTGTGTTAATACTTCTTGTCTTGGCCTTGTCTGTCTTCCTGCCTGCAGGTCATTCATCCGTCGCCTCCCTTTTTTCAACCCCTTTTTTTAGAACACACACACACACGCAAAGAAAAAAGACAAAGGCCCGAATGACGATGGGAATCCAACAATACCTCCCTTCGTTTTCATTCCGAATCTCACTCATTCATTTCCTTCTTCCCACACACACACACACTTGCATTCAAAACCATACAACTCACCCACCCATACGCTCAGCAAAGTTCGGCTCCAGCTCTTTCAACACCCACCTTTGCTAACTAACCCTTATCCTGACTGTAAAAGGGTAAAGTGGTTCTCACTTTTTGTGGAAAGAGAAGAGAGAAGTATCGCCCTTTCATCCGTGACGTGTGCCTTCATACCCCTTCTCCTGCTTTACAATGTGAACCCCCTTCGCTGACCACACGCCACGCTTCTTACCCTCTGTTGTACTATTAAGCCTGACAGCAACGTGCTTTTTGCTCCAAAAACGCGACCGCCTCAGATTGGGAACGACTTTTTCTGCAACGAAGAACGTCAACCAGCTGGACAGTTTTCATTCTCACCCCACAACGCCGGCAGCAACATTCCCCGCTTTCGCACGCAGTAGCTGGACCCTCCTCAACTTTCGGATCGACTATCAGAGGCACTTCCCCTCCTCTCTGCCTTGAGGAAGAAGAGAGAGCAAGCAGAAAACCAACCATTGTCGGACAGGAAAGATGTTAAAGTCATTTCATGTCGCCCCGCTGGGCCAGAACTATACAGAGTTTCTGGAGTCTAGTCACGACATGTCCCTGGCGACATTTCTTCAGGAGAGACTGGAAAAATACAAGGAATGCACCCTGCAACTCTCAGGAGACCTGTCTGCTGTACGGGGAGGAGGCGGTGTGGATGCTCTTGTTGATGGGCTCATCGCCATCCATGATGATACAAGGGCTGTCTTGAACACGGAGAACTGGGGTGCACTACCAGCCTTCTGGGATCGCTGTAAGTGTCCTGCACATTGACCTCTCAGATATGGTTTTTGTATGAGGCACAGCACACTCTTTGTAACACCCGTTGTTGTATTCTTCAACCTATAGTTGACAAGACTGTGTCCCAACTCAAGTTGCTTCGGATCAACAAGGACGACTTTGAGACCCTCAAGGCTCTTACTCGAGGACAATACGGAAAGGTACACCGACACATCTATCTTACAAAGCGAGCAGCAGTCGTCGAGGGTGATCATTTCGCATATGCAATGGTTGTTCTAGGACTCTAACAAGTCATACTTTAATATGGAGGTTAGGTGTCGATTGTCCGGAGCAGGTTGGACGGAGGCATATATGCGATGAAGACCCTGAACAAGATGTACATTCTTTCCCAGAAAGATGTAAGGACAAGTTGTTTTTGCTGTTGCGAAGGTACCTCACAGCATAGCAAAGGATTTGACCATACTTTGAGTTGTGCGCTTTCCCTTTTGTAGAAAATTTTGTACATGGAAGAGCGACAGGTCCTGGCTATCACCTCGGAGTGGTTCCCAACACTACATGCAGCGTTCCAGGATGAGGTAAACCTATATCTTGTGATGGAGTATGCACCAGGAGGCGACCTTTACAGCATTCTAGACAAGAAGCAAGACGAATTGAACAAGACCAATGGTCACGCCGACGACAATGACGGGAACTCGTCCGACGACGAAGATACTACGTTGACAGAGGACGAGATCCGGTTCTACATCGCCGAGATTGTTCTCGCCGTCTCTGAACTGCACAAGAACCATTATATTCATCGGTAGGTGGTGTGGCAGAGACGGAATGAGCTGCTCTCTTTAGAGATGCCTACAATTGAACTGTATTGTTGCTGACCATAGATGTGGCGCTGGGGCGCTGTCTTTCCTGCTGTAGGGATCTCAAACCTCAAAACATCTTGCTGGATGCAACTGGCCACATCATGCTCGCTGATTTCGGTGCCTGTGCTCGACTGGATGCAAGTGGACAGGTGAGCCCTTACCCTTACCCTGAAAGAATCACCGACTGACAAAAACATGACAGACGAACGAGGAACTAACCTGATCGATGAAACAATGTTAGGTCCATGGCCAGACAGTACCGCTGGGAACATGGGACTATATGTCTCCAGAGGTTGTTGACGCTCAATCAGGTGGAAAACCCTACGGCAAGGAAGTCGATTGGTGGGCAGTTGGAGTAGTGATGTATGAACTGCTTGTTGGTGAGCCACCTTTTTTTGCCGAAAGCGCCATGGGAATCATCCGTTTGCTCAGGGACCACGAGGTAATATATATGGATCCTGCGTAGCAATTGTTCATGGAAGGTAGTGAATAGTAGGTGTTGAAAACGTGGATATTGACGATGTTTTATATGTCCACCTGAACCGGGGAAACTAGAAAAACCTCAGTTTTGACAAGGGCATGGAAATCAGCCCAGAGTGCAAGGACCTTATTACCAGGTATCCAGTCTTACATATGGAATGGTAAAAAAAAAGTCAAAGAACAAAGAAGACCTGTTCACAATTCTTTTCCCATCATTCCTTCTTCGTCTTATAGACTGTTGGCGAGAAAGGAGAACCGTCTCGGAAAGAATGGAGTCGAAGAGATCAAGGCACACCCGTTCTTCAAAGGCATCGACTGGGACAACATCCGAAAATGTAAGAACCAAATGGACTGTTATTGTTGTGCATACCACAGACAGATAAATATTTAATAGTATGTCATACCTAACACAACCAATCTTTTCACTTACGCATGAATAGCGACACCACCGTTCTTGCCTGTAATCGAGACTCCAGACGATACTTCAAACTTTCGATTTGACGACGATCTGGATGGAAGCGATGAGACTATGCAGGACAAGCAGTCGACTGTCGTCGATTATCGTGGAGGACGACTCCGGCGGTTTGAGGGCTACAATCTCGCGTTCATCGGCTACACCTACCAGACGTTTGTCGATTTCGGAGCAATCAACCCGCAAGACTCTGGAAAGTTGGCACTACCGACTTCCGTCAGCGGGAAGGACTTGGCCCATGGCAAGTTCCGGAGAGAGCCCTCGCTGACAGGACTTGACAAGGAGGATGTCGGACGGCTGCGGTTAGAGCAGGAGGTCCATCGACTTGTGACTGAACTGGCGACCAAGGAAGACTTGTTGACAGAGATCAATTCGGTGCACCAGACCTTGTTGACTCAGTATGAAGAGCACGTTTCAAAAGCGACAGCCGTGGAGTCAGAACTCTCGGCCAAGTTGGTCGGTATTGCTGCGGTCGCAGAACGGGAGCGTGTCGAGGCGGAAGAGTTGGCTCAGGACCTCAAGAATAATCTAGCACTGCAGCAAAAGAAGGCTCACCAGTTGGAAGACGAGAACGAGACGATGAGGGCCAAGTGCGGTGAGCTCGAGAACGAAATTGAGCGTCAACGCGAGTCGATATTGAAGCAGGAGATTGAGGGCAGCAAGGTCTCGCTCCTCAAGGCGGAGAATGAGGAGCTTCGGAACCAGAAGGAGCATGACCGTCTGCAGGAGAACCAGCTTCTTTTGGCCGAGATGGAACGAGGTAATAGACTTCGTGAGGAGAACGAGACATTGCGGTTGCAGATCCGTGATATGGAGCGTCAAGAGGAGAAGACGACACTGGAGTACAGGAACTCGGTCTCGGAGCTAAAAAAGACCTTGAGAGGGGCACAGGAGGACGTTGCCGACCAACTCCAGACAAGGAAGAGGCTTGAAGTTGATCTCCGTCAACAGATCGACGCCAAGAACGCACTCCAACAGTCTCTTAACAAGGCGCTAGAGGCTCTAGAGAACAAGGACGCCGAGGTTGTTCAATTGACCAAAGCCTGCGAGGCAGCCGTTGCAGCAATGGATTCATCGACAGGCACCAACGGCGGAAGTGTGCGAACTATCTACCCATCGATGCTGAAGCGTGAGCGGGCAAGCAACAAGGTCCTGGTTCAGCAATTGGAGGAGCAAGGAGAAAAGATTACCGACCTGGAGAATAAAATCAAACAGTTGGAGCAGGAGAAGGGTCGTCAGCAAGGAGTTCGGAGTCCTGACAGGGTTGCCTCGCCTGTGCATTCTCTTTGGTCACACGACGCCCAGTCCTTGACGAGTCCTACCAAGATGATGATGGAGATGTCTGCACCCGATGATGTCTCTGGCTGGATCCGGATCTCTTGGCCGTCGGCAGAGAAGAAAAGCATGAAGCAGAGCTGGAAGAAGCAATTCATCGTCCTGAGGGATATGAAGATCTATTCACTTGAGAAGGAAGGCGACCCCGGCACCTCCCAGTCATGCAAGGTCCTCGCCGACTTGAGGTACTCTACCTATGCCTCATTGTTTGTACATCCTTGGGCAAACAACTATACACCAGTCATATGCTAACCGACACGTCCTATACATTTGAACGTGAATCGCAGGTCCGACTTTTTCTGCGTTCGAACTGTGAATCGGTCGGAACTGATTCATGCAACGGCCAAGGAGCTGGAATGCATCTTCCAACTGCGAAGCTCCAATGTTGGCACGAGTTCCGCACATTCGACTCTCTCGGTATGTCAGTGTGAGCAGTGTGCGGATCAAGTACTGGCATACAGTGGTGGCCATTGTGATCCCTATCTAACACACTTTCTTATTCCTTTACTAGACTGCTACGACAGAGACGTTTGGTTCTCAGGCACAGTCGATTCTGTCTGCTTCTCATCCTGTTCACTTAGCCAACATGACCAGAGCCGAGATCCAGACCAAGATCGACACCCTCAAGGCCGAGATTGTCAAGGAGGAGCAGATCAAGCGGGGAGCAGAGTCGATGCAGGCTGCATGGATGGGAAGCAATGGTACAAGCGATGCGTATGTCAAGTCCAAGGAGAACGTTGATGTGTGCACCAAGCTAATCAAGGAAAAGTCGGCAGAAGCTGAGCGATTGACACAGCTCTTATTCGCATCAGAGGTACCCTTCTTTGCATGCAGCTTTTCGATCAATGGAACGGAGTAGTAGGCAGTAGGTGCGTGCGCACTAACACACGTATGCCTTTTGCATTGATTGGGTATAGACGAAGGCAGAGTCTTCGCACGATCTGTTCTCGACGGAAAGGAGCCTCAAGGTGAAGGAGCTGGAGAAGCACATCATGATCGAGCGCCGTCATTTGGAGGCAGCGGAAAAAATGGCAGCACCGCTCATGAACTCTGCCAACAATATCGTCCGGAGGAACTGGAAGTCTGCTGTTGAGGTCCAGATGGAGAGTTCCAAGCAGCGGTTGGCGACATTAACCGCCGAGCTCGAAAAACTCAATTCTGTAAGTCCATGCTCATGGTACGGCGCCTTTCTTGCTTTTCTTTAGTGTCATTCACGCGTGTTTGTAACCGTTGTATCTTGCTCATCATTCTAAACACAGGGATCAAAGAGCATGTCGCCCCTACAATCGGGACTCGCGACTTGGACGCAGCAACGCGATATCTACGGACACCAGTTCCACCTCAAGCACTATACTATCCCCAAGTCCTGTCACCAGTGCCACGATGTCCTGTGGGGATCGCAAAAGTCCGGTTACGAGTGTTCCGGTATGATTCCCAGTCTTTTCTTCCTTTGCGTCCCTCTCGTCTTGTCCCCGTTTTCATCGATTCTCTGTCTTCTCTTTCTTCTTGTGGTTTTTGTTTCCTCTGCCTCTCTCTCCTGCTCTTCCTCTCTCTCCTGCTCTCCCTCTCTCTCCTGCTCTCCCTCTCTCCTTCTCTCCCTCTCTATCTCTTTCTCTGCTTCCTTATTGTCTTCTTTTCCGTCCTTCCAGTTGGTCTTTTTTCTTGTCCTTCAAACTTCCTTTCTTGGCTCTCTAGTGTTCTTCCTCGACCTTGCTGTGTTCCCTCCATCCATGTTCCATCTCTTCCTCTTTTTTTCTCCTCTTTTCCTCTGTCCTCCCCCGCACACCCCCGGCATGTCGTGTCATATTATGCCTGATCATTCCATGCATGAATATGCAATGCTTGGAAAGAAAAAGAACACAAAAGAGAAAAAAAAAACGTTGCATCGCATAGACTAACATGGTCCATGTTTTTTCTTTCTTACTTACACCTGTTTCTATCTCCCTGTCTCTCACACATCTCCCAATCGTTGGTACCATGTGCGCCGATACCAATACTGGTACCAAACCATGATACGGATATATTAGGATGCAAGTATGTGGCACACAAGCAGTGTCTAGACCTGTTGACGATTTCGTGTCAAGAACAACAAGGTCTCCGCCATAGCCTGCCGATCTACCTGCTAGCGCATGATAAGCATGAACAGAAGCGGTGGATCCGGACGATTGAGCTGCATCGGAAGCGTGCCGAGACCATGATGATGGGGTCTACTCATGGCCATGGTCATAGTTCTGGTCAGGGTCAGGGTCAAGGTCTTTACGTGCGGACTGATACAGATGCAGATACAGGAGGAGCAGGAGCAGGGGTAGGAAGAAGTTCGTCCGACATGTCCATCTCTGCAACCAAAAGTAGCCCCTGATTGATTGGTCACCTTGGGCAAAAGAAGAAATGATATCACCTTAATAATAAACTAAAGTTGGTTCGAACACGTTCATGTCTCCCCTCCAATGCCTTTTGTTTTCAACTACGGGTGAGCATCGAGAGGAAGAGACGATGTGTGGACCTTATCAGGCCCGATAGGAGTATGAGCGAAGACTTTGAGACCTTCGATTATGACGATGGGTGGAGCAAAGATCGAGCTTCTGTGTATGTTACTCTAAAATAAGGTATCGCCGCTCTCTATCTTAACAACGAACGGGGTGTATTCTTTGAAGAGGACAATACGATTGCTGCCTATCGATGGAACATGGGTGATGGGTGAGGCAGAAGACAATGACCGCCAACCGCAGCTGCGTTTGTTTTTATTTTGGGGGGTGGGAGAGCAATGAGGTGCGCCTCTTGTTATCCTTTGTTGTCAGGGTGCAATAGTGTTTTAACTTTTAACCCGGATTGGCTGCATTTGGATTTCTTATACATGCGGTGTGTTCCATGTCAAGCAATCTTTATCGTGATGTGATGTGGCTTATTGATAATTTTTTCTCGTATCAGGTTCAATCAATTGACACTGGGATCGATTCACATATCACATATCTATCTACCCATCAATAATATTTCGTCCAAGAGGAACAGGCCAAGGCTGACATGGCACACACTACTGAGAAGGCAAAAAATAGAAATGCCCTAAAACAAGAAATACCACCAGGACAGACTGCCTGCAGCCAGTTACATCACTGGTTACCGACAATCGTTATGGAACATGTTGTGGCCTGTGTGAGAGCTGAGTACAAGGACCTAACAAAAAGGGGAATCGTGTAATAACGACGGTTTGACAGATCGGCAGGTCTGTATGTCTGGTCCATGAGGTACAGTACCTTTGCCTTTTACGGCTATCTTCGTTCATTATCTTTCTGCTGAAGGAGTTTTGTTTTGTCCTCAATTGCTCTTGCAAGTATGTGTTTTTGTGTGTTATGTGGATTGTGGATGCATGTGTATGTGTATGTGTATGTGTATGTGTATGTGTATGTCCAAGTGTATGGGAATGACATATCCTCCGAAAAAAAACATTACGTCTCAGACATCCAATTTTTTTCTCTTTTCTTTTGCATATAAAAACCGGGCCATGGTCTCGCCTACTTTCCTACTTTCCTCTTCTTCTTCCTATTATTATCCATCATCTTCATCCACATCCACATCGATCTCTTCTGATCCCCCAACAACAACAACTACTCCCACTCACTCCTACTCACACCCAACCCACAACACTTTTCAAACATGTCTGCTGCTGCCAAGAGAAAAGGTAGCCAGTCTCTCACATCAGAAGAACGCTTGGACCATTCTCACTGCTCACTCTTAATTTTCATTCCCACGCCACGATAACCGCGATACACGACACTAACCATCCTCTCTCCAACTGAATAGGTTCCCAAATGGCCATCATCGGCGCAGGTTCCGTCGGTTCATCCATCGCCTTTGCCTGTTTGATGCGCTCCGTCGTCTCAGAGCTGCTCATCAACGACTTCAACACAAAGGTCTGCGAGGGTCAGGTGCTCGATCTTCAGGATGCCGCCTTTGTCTCCTCGACCAAGGTCCGCGTCGGAACCGCCGCGGAGTGCGGTCAGGCCGACATCATCGTCATCACCGCCGGTGCCCGCCAAAAGCCCGGTGAGAGCCGTGACCAGCTCGTCCTCCGTAACGAAGAAATCCTCCGTAGCGTCTTGGAAGGTCTCCAGCCCATCAAGAAGACCGCCATCCTCATGCTCGTCGCCAACCCCGTCAATGTCCTCACCTGCATGGCCCAGAAGCTCTCCGGTCTCCCCCCTCACCAGGTCATCGGAACCGGTACCTACCTCGACTCTGTCCGCTTCCGCGTCGCCGTCAAGGATTGTCTGAAGGTCTCCGAGACCTCGGTCCATGCCTACATTGTCGGTGATCACGGTGACAAGCAAGTCGCTATCTGGTCTTCCGCCAGCATCGGAGGCAAACCCATACTCGCCTTTGAGGAGATCAAAAAGATGGACCGTGCCGCCGAAGCTGCCAAGGTCGCCCACAAGGCCTACAGCATCATCGATCTCAAGGGTGCCACCGCCTTTGGTATCGCTGCCGTCGTCTCCGAGGTCGCCCTCTGCATCACCCTCAACAAGCTCTCCGTCGTCCCCCTCTCGACCTACTGCGACAGGTTTGACGCCTGCCTGTCCTTCCCTGTCTCCCTTGGCACCAACGGCGTCGAGAGCATCGTCTACCCCGACATGGACGAGCACGAACTCGCCCTGGTCGAGGAGAGTGCCGTTGCCACTCGCCACGCTTGCCGCAACTACAGGAACTAAACTCTCCTTTCTTAACCTCTGCCTTTGCATATCTTTTCATAGTTCTTCCTCACTAATCCAACAAACAAACAGCAACCACAATAATATGTACATATGTTTTCGCTTTATCCATATCTCCCTCATTGTTCATTTTATTTTTATTTTGTTTGCTTTTCAAGATTTACTTCTTTGCCGTATGTGCGCCTGAGGTGTTTGTGTTTGTGCTCGCAGGTGCACCTGTGGCAGAGGAATGAGTCGCCTGCGATGTCTTGAAGCAAATAATGTTGTTCTCCTGTGTAATCACGTCGTCTTCTCCAATCTATGTCACATATCGTACGTTACAGTAATACCAGTAGTTAATACCAATCAGAGCTAATAGGATCTTCCTCGTATAAGAAAACAGCACTCCTTTCAAGTCAACAAAAGATTCACCTTGCGGTTGCCAATGGTTTCTGCTCCAAGATAGTGCTTGGCGATCTCGGGGTGAACAATATCGGCAAACTCGAGCACAGTCGTTCCAGGCCAAAGCAGGACACAGTCTCGGAACACGCCCTTCCCGTTTGTGTTGGCAAATGTCGTGAGACTCTTGACCGGGAATGCAGGGACGAGCCCAAGAATCTCGACGGCCTTTAAAACCACATCCTGCACGCCCGTCGATCCATACCGATACAACACCAAGTCCTGAACTTTTTCAATACGGCTAGATTTGAACCAAACAAAATGGACATGGTCAGGGTCATGTATCAAATGTCGCTTCCAAGTTGTGGTGGCTCTTGTTTCACCATATCATCAAAGCTGCGTTTGCTTACTTTTGAAGTTTTTCATCTAGTGGCTTCAGATCTGAATCAGGCTAATATTTGGCAAATAAAAGGAGAGAGTGGCGAATATGTCAGCTACCAGGTGCAACTTTACATGTAACCATATGCATGTCCACGGTAGGGATTGATAACATACCATATCTTCTTTCGTCTGCACGTTGTCCGTGCCCTCCTCGTACTGGATAAACTTTTGCTTGTGCAATTTCCGGAGAAACGTCTCTGCAAGTGCGCTGGAAAGTACAATCTTGTTCTGTGGGAAAGAAAACAACACGTCCGCGTTAGGTGCTGCTCTGGGTTAAGGCGCAGTGATGTCCCGTGGTAGCAATTTGGTCCGTTCCTGATGTTACCTGGTCATATTTGCGCATGATTTTAGAGATGTTCTTATCCGAGTCTGGCAAGTCGATCTTGTTCAATGCCTACAATTATTTGAAAGGTATATGATAGTCAGTACTGGCAAAGCCTCCTCTGGTGTGACACGTACAAGTCAGAACAAATGAGTATATTTACTCACAATGACGGTAGGGAAGCGCTCATCTAAGAATGCATCGACAATCTTTAAGATAGTCTCTTTCTCCCAAGTATCCATAGGTTCCTTAACACCACTCCTGTCCAAACTCTTTTGCACTAGTGACAAAGTTGCTCCATATCCCGAGAATTGGTTATGTAACGTCTCTGCTGTTGACGCCTCTATAAGTGGTTAATATGAACGAAAAAGAATCGAGTTAGTACAGCTGTTTAGTACTTACCGGGAAAAGCATCATCACGAAAACGTTTGAAGGCGCATCGGGTCGACTTACTGACGGCAACGTGTCGTCGGACGATCTGGTTCCAGCGCTTGTTCAAGTTGCCTAAGATCCATGAATGAATCTCACCCCGGAGCCATTCGATGTCACCAATGGGATCGTATCCAACTGTCTCCTTGCCATTGGCATCCGTGGTTCCGCTGACATCGACGACGTGGATCAAAGCGTTCGCATGTCGAAGGTCGTCCAGAAATTGGTTTCCTAGACCCTGCCCTTCTGATGCTCCTGGAACCAATCCTGCCACGTCCAGAATCTGAATCGGAACAAATCGCTTTCCATCTATGCAGCGACCTAGATATTGTAGGGGCATGGGAATGATAGAGCCCAAACGCCATAAGTTACGTGATCAATTGCTCCTGAGGATATGTATTGCAGATCGGTTATAAAAGAAACGGCATGCCTGACTTCCAGATCAAGCCTGTTTCTTACCGTATCTTGGCGCGCAGAGCTTTGTCTTGTTGAAACGTTTGCATGGGCACTCGATCGGAAAGTATGCTATAGAGAAGTAGGGCGAACAGATGTGTATTAGTTCAAGACGACCTAAAGACGATCATGTCCGCGTATCTCATGCAATGAGTAAGGAGACTCACCAATTCCATTGTTGGGTTTGATTGTGGTGAATGGGTAGTTTCCGACCTTTGCTGTGGCATCTGTGACTATGGATGGGCGAGAAGCGATATATGAACGTGAGTATGATTAACTTGCAGTTCTCCTTGCCTAGCAGTCGTTTTTTCTCCTTGAGAAAGCTATTTGGTTGTATTGTTTGCGAGCGTATTTTTTTTACCTGCGTTCAGGAAGGACGACTTTCCGGCGGATGGTTTCCCGACACAGGCGATGACGACGTCTTTCATTCCGGTGCTTTTTTTTCTCGACGAGCGAATGAGCGGACGAATGAATGAAAAGGGAAGAAAAGGGAAGAAAAGGGATACTTTTGACCTTGATTGTCTTTATGGCCAAGAGATATCCTCCGCCCAGGGTGTTGGACCATTGGATCTGTCGTTTGGTGTCAAAAGTGGCTTGTTGCAATGGTGACTGCGAAAGCAATTTGATCTTTTTTTCTGCAGTCTGCAGACCGCACGCGAAGGTCAAGAAAGAGGGATCATTTTCATACGAGGATAAACGCCGCCAAAACAACCTTCTTTTGTTCCTCCTCCTCTTCCCTCTCCACGCGACATTCGCCTACCCTCACCCTCACCCTTCCACATCCCACACACACACTCACACACAAACCAAGAAGGCAACCACAACACCACCAAACAACATACTATCACTACAACAACAAACCTATAAACGTCACGCAAAACTTACAGCCAGGCACAACTCTGAATTACACTGGTACCCTCGACATGGACGACTTGGTGCTGCATGTCCAGAACGAGATTGCTCTCGACGGCGAATCTGGTACGCCCAAGGAAACGAACTTCTTTTTTTTCACTTGCAAGGAACTGCTTGCATGTTCTCCTTCTTGGCAAACAGAATGAATTCTTGTTGACTCGGACGACTTCTCGACTCTTTCAAACTATAGGCTGCAGCTGGACCCGATTTTGGTATTTGGTCGACGAGTTCCGGAGCAGAGGCCAACCACAGGCCAATACTGCTACCACATCTGCGACGCCGTCGCTCAAGCAGTCTGACGAGCGGTTTAGACAGTTCTTTTGGAACAACTTTATCCAGGAGGATGACACATATTTCTATAAACACACCAAACCCAGCCCAATTGCTGTCCAGAGCGACGTGGTAAGGAAGACCATGGCTCTTTGCATTCAAGAGGACGCAATGTTAACGTTTCATGAGGTGTAGTCACATTGGCAAGGCATACGTCAATGCACCTATCTAACCTACCTACTACATCTGATTCTTGTGAACATCTTCTATAGCTGAGAGCGTGTTCGGTCCCTTTCAGCGAGTTGGCGTCCCTTGACCCAGAGGAGATCCACTACAAGGCAGTGATAAGCCAATATAAGGACTCTTTGCGGATTGTCGCGACTACAGAGCGACAGCGTTCGGCTGTCCTTGGGAACGCGGGTGAGGCCGTCTCTTCGGTCTCGACTCAGGCCTTCCAGATCCTTCAAAACATCACCGCGGCACGCGAGCTTGGCGCGACTCAGGCTCAGTTGGCCAAACATCACGACATCGACCCACGGAGCATGTTCCACTTTCTCAAGGTCCTGATTGAACTGAAACTTATCGTCAAGATCCCAGTCACAACCGAAGGAAAGTACACCCTGCTCTGCCTGCATAAAAAGTTTGCTAAGAAGAATGCTGGCTACATCGGAATGAACTCGGAGGAGACCTTTTCCAGTGCAGGCCGACAGGTGGTCACAGGAGATGGAGGGAAACGCTTCGAGGGTCTGCTGAAGACGGAGAGCAAGAAGGTCAGCTACTACAGCGGCCTCATCAAGCAGAAACTGACCGACATCCTCGGCCGTGCCAAAAATCAGGTCATGATGATCGAAGACATCCACAAGGCGCTAGTACGTGACGTGTTCAGTGGAGCGTATAAATGGAGGTCTATTATGTATTTAGATAGTATCGTCTTTTTTACTAACACGCGCTTTTGTTTCATTCATCGCTCAACTAGGACTTGACCGATATGAACACTGTTCAAAATCGATGGTTTAATCGACAGATTGAGTTGCTGTGCAAGCTCAAGTACATCAAGCGCGTCCAGGTGGAGGGCCTCAATCGGTGCATTCAGCTGCTGCGTCCATACGGCGCAAACATGTCCGTAGACCGTAAGTCTCTTTGATGCAGTGATGGCTCTTTTCAGTTCCATGCATCCACATGAAACAGGCACACCATGGACATGTAGGATTCAACGCTAACGAGTAAAAACATTTTGTCCGCTTTGTAGAGAACGAGAAGGACCAGCTGAACTTGAGAAACGTCATTGCAGACGACACACCACAGAGCGGAATCTGCATCGACACGTCGATCGAGCACCAAGTCTACAAGCTCATTGTGGATTCGAAGAAGCAAGGAATTATCGCTAAGGTGCCTACCAATATACATAGTTCATGTCAACCACTCTTTCTGATCCTTCGCACCCAGGCGCTTCGCAAAACTAACGGCCTATGGTTTGCAACTGTTGTAGGAAATTCGCCATGGCTTGAACATGCTGAATAATCGACTGCTTGCTCGCATTCTGGATACACTTTGCAAGCCGGTCCCTGACTCGGAACAGCCGTTGATCAACCGCGTAGTGGAGTTTGTTGGTCGGGAGCGTCGTTACCGGTACTACTCTCAGGATGCCTACAAGGAGGGGATCACGGATGACCACAAGGATCATTTGGCGCGGACAAAGGCCGCCCCCAGCGCCGCCTCATCGTCAGGTTCAAAAAAATCAAAAGAAACCACTCAGGCACCCACATTGAGCGACACTGCCGCAACACATCATCCCGCTACCAATACCACTGTTGACAGTATCACTACGGGGGCCCTCGACAATTTTAGCCAGAATTCGTCATCTACTTCGGAAGGAGCTTCTGCGTCCTCGTCATCCTCGCACCCACCTGTTCCGGCCCCAGTCTCGACTCTCACTAAAGCGTCCTCCTCTGCCATCCGGGAGAAGTTTGTCTCGGTTGAGGTTCTTCGACGACGGAGGATCCTGCTGACGATCATTGAGGAGAAGAGGATGGCGGAGCTTCATTCGTCTCTTGTTATGGAGTATCAGACAGTCAAGGCGAGATTGTACCCGGACCAGGAGCTCTCGAGTGTTATCGACAGGAAGACACTCTACAGGACTATCAGCATCTTGGAGCAGGAAGGACTTGTGAAGTTGTTCAAAATCAGTAACATCCCGTCGCCCGGTGGCGGATTGGTCTCCAAGACGTTTGTTCTTCACCCAGACGTTGACCCAGAGTCGGATGAGGCTAAAGCCTTTGTCAAAGATTGTAGTTCCAGGCATCTCCTCTTTGGGGCCTTGGCCAACAAACCGATGCAGCGGATCGAGAAGGTGTCTCTCGAAGTCGAAACTCTGGACGAGATGCAGCAACGGCTCGGCGGTGAATTCTACAAGGGTCCGAACGTCCCATTTGCCGACGTCGGAACGGTCAAGCCCAAGGAGCACGAGAGCAAGACCAAGGTGTACGCTCAGGACGGAGGAGATTACTCGACCGAATACGGCTGGATACACGCCAAGATGATGCGCGCCCTTGTATTCCATCGGTTCCTCCTCGACAAGATGGAAGTCCGCGATAAGAGGCTATTCACCTTCTCCGTCCGAACCAATGTATTCAACACCGCCCCGGTTTTTGAGATTCTGCCTCTTCGCGTGTTCCTCATAGTTGTTGGCTTTGTCCAGGAGCCGACGGCGGAGAATGGAGACTACTTGGATGCAAACAAGGAATCCAACGCCGCATTGTGTACGCTCCCGGACCACATGCGCCATATCACAATGCCGAATGCCAACTTCAAGCGGCGTCTCCGCGAGGCTCTCGAGATCTTGGATGCTCTGGGACTTGTGTCACCCCTCGAGGCCCCTCCGAATGGTCAGGAACCCCTCAAGTACGCCCAGAATCATCTCGTCCTCAACACTCAGTACGAACTGCATTTGAATGTGCGAGCTCCGCTCCATTCCATTACTCCAGAGCTCATCGATGAGGACCTGGCAGGACGCAAGACCTACGACGTGATGTCGCCGAGCGGCTGCAAAGAGTTCTGGACAGATCTCCAAGCTACGGCATCATCTATGAGGGTCCCCGACGAGGGTCCGGTCTCCAAGTCATCCTTCAGACCGTGGACTGATATCCGTGCGACCTTTTTGCGCAACTTGTGCAATCGTCGTATCTGGGCGGATTCTCTCCGAGTGACTCCGATCCAGCGGGAAGCGCTCATGAAATACGTCAACAAGACGACTCGGTTTGTCCCCAACATCAAGGACGCGAGGATGAGCACCATTATCAAGGAGACAGGATTGCCCATTGACCATGTCGTCCAGTTCTACAAGGCGGTCGCGATGGCATGGTACAACGACCCTCTCGCCAGAGACAGTAGCGGACGGACAAGACTGACACGTTTGAGCAAGGTCGGGGCTACTCCTGCGAGCCTGAAATCCAAAAATGACAGCGTGAGGAAGTTTAATCGGGAAGCAGAAGACTTTGGCGACGAGAAAGCTGGTAGGAAGGGCAAAGAAAAGGAGGTCTTGTCAAAGGACGATGCGCTCAGGGACCTCAAGGAGCAGAAAGTGTCCACTACATCAAGGAGTCTTGTCCCATCTTCGTCCGCCCGCCCAGGCAGCAGTGCTACCGCGCCGAAGAAGCCTGCTGCATCCACATTGGAGATCGCGGACAATAATGGCTCCATCAAGACTCCAGGAGGCTATGCGGTCGGCCAGCCCAAGAAGCAGCGCGCTGCAAGGGTGCCTTGGACGGATGCAGAGGACGACAAGATGTTGCTGGCGATGGCAATCACACGATACATCTCGAGAGCTCTCAACCTTCGTTTCAGTTGGCATGGTGTCTCTCGCGCGCTGGATGGACATCGGACGCCTGAGATCTGCCGCCATCGGTACGACAAGCTAATGAAAGAGACAACGCTCTCAAATCGTGTTGAGAGTTACATTGTCCAGTTTGGCCAAGCCTTCCCGGAAATCTCTCAACGGTTCTCTGTTGATCCCAACCTCCAGTTCTTCGATCCGCGCCCCATCATGACCTACTTTCGACCTACTTTGGAACAGCCAGCGTAAGTCTCCCTTGGCGTTGACCCCGACCACGTCACTTTGCCTGTTGAATGCTACTTTTCTACCTTCGTCCTCCAAGCGTTTGATATTAACTACCTCTTGTTTCGTCATTTATTTTTAGCGGTTCCGAGGCTATACCGTCTGAACCCCTGCTTGCAGATCCCGAAGATATCGAAAAGTTGTATCTCGTTCGTCACTCAGATCCGTATTCCAAGCTGTACGTCGAGGACAGACTTCATGCCGAAATGTCCCTACCTCGACGCATGGTAGTACTGACGCAGGTCCCCGCAACCCTGCGATCGAGTATCGAGAAGGAGCTTGATGAAAGGAGTGATGATTTGAGTAAGTCCCGCAGTGTCGATATTTCTCTGGAGAGTCAAGGGGATCGTCGTGTTGTCACGGTTAAGGTTCGAGAGGAACGACTAGCCCAGGAACACGTCATCCTCGGAGTTATCAAGGCCATTTACAGCATGCCTCGGGAGAAGCGAACCAAGGAGCTCACTCGCGCGATTCTGGAGTCGTTCCCCTACGACAAGTTGAAGGACACTTGCTCGTTGGCGAAAGACTGGAAGGTGTTGTCGAGTGTAAAGTCGATGTCGTATCGAATCCCCGGTCAAAAGGTCCGACGCGCAGAGCGGTTCACGCTGGTGATGGCAGGATCGGTTCCCAGAAAGATGACCCTTGCGGCGGCGGAGGTGGATGATTTTTCTCGCAAGACCAAGGAACGGCTCTTCCAGGTCGACGCCGGACCTTCTGAGATGATGGTGCTTATGAACGAAATCGCCACGGATGGGATGGAGGTTTCGATGAGACCGCCAAGCAACGAAACGGGAGCTACAGGAACTGATGATCATGGTGTGATCCTGCACTTTGATATACTGCTGAAGAGCAAGAGGGTCTCTTTGCCATCAATGACTCGTGCAGCAATGACCGGGAACCAGAAGAATCAGGAAGGCGCAAAGGCATCGGGAGTTGACCTGCGAGGAGAGGGCATCCAGCTGCTTATTGCGCAGGGTGAAGCATCTGAATCTGGTACAGAGACTGCGGTGGATCCTTGGGCAATAGCTCGAGATTGGTCAGCCAAGGAGCTGGCGGGGATGGTTGAAGGCTGTCAAAACAAGGAAACTGGCCGCCTGAGCCGAACCGTCTATGACGTTATCTCGTGCTCTGAGAACTCTGGCATGCTCTTGCAAGACATCAAGGTAACTGAAAAGGTCATATGCACAGCACCGAATGTATGTGCGAATGGACAAAAACCCAACCTGTCTCTTCTCTTTGTCTCGACTTGCTAGGACGCTGTGGTTCGAGCAGGATTTACTGCATCGGATCAAGAGCTCATGGGATGTATCCGAACGCTTGAAGGAGGTGACAAAGCAGTCCTGATGAAGGTTGGCATGGCTCAGCGCCGATATGTGGTGTTTGGATGGCACCAGACTTGGACTGTTGACTATAAGACGGCGGTTAGGCGGGCTGGTCTTGGGGAGGAGGGGTTCAGTGCTGCAAGGAACCCATCAGCCTGTCCTTGGAGCTGCCTAGTGCCTCGTATGTGGAGGAGCCTTGATGGTGGTTTCGACAAATCGACTTTCGAGAAGGCTCTCCATGCGGTTCTCACCTACATCGTTGACCGCCCCGGTGTCTCGAAGGTATATTTTCTCGTTCTTGCTGTTTGTTTGAGTTTCTTTATTTGTTTGATTTGATTCCATGCTTTAAAAATATTAATCGGTGCATCACATTATGATAACATGGATGAATAGGGCGCGCTGTTGACCCATTTCCACAAGATTGTGTTCGGTACAGAGATGGAGGAGCTACTTGAGGAGTTGGAAGAGCGAGGCGCAATTGAGGCGCGACACGGTATTCAGCCCAAGGCACCGTCGCTGTTCTCGAAGAGGGGCGTGTATGTTCAATGTGACCGGGACACGATTGATGCTCGAAAGGTGACGAACCTGTTTCCTCAACCGTCATACTATCTTTACATTGACACGGCCCTTGTTGAGGTAGCTAGAGAGGGCAAGTCTCCGAAACGTCATAATCAACCACGCCAAGGACCATCGGCAGGTGGACCTAGGGAGAGCGAGGAAGGCGATTTGGATGAGGAGGAGGAAGAGGACGACGATGATGATGACGATGTCGATGGGGATGGAGAGGACGAGGAAGGATATGAGGATGAGAAGGAGGACGAAGAGGAAGAGGAAGACGAAGATGAGGAAGAAGAGGACGAGGATGAAGAGGAGGTTGAGAGGTTGAGCAAGAAGTTGCGGTCAGGCTAGAGAAAGTGTCTGTTAGCCAGCCAGCCAGCCGTGTCTGGTGTCACAGTCTGATAGGTGTTCTATATCGCGTATCAATGGCTGTTCCTAGTTCAATATGTTCCTCTACTTTTACTTGCGACAAGCAAACTTCTTCCCCTTTTACACTTTACAAAAGAATAAAAAAAAAGCAGGGCGGGATAACAAAAGTGCCACGAGAGGGGCTGTGCGTGGTTGTGTAGAAATCCCCGACATTTTTACACGCAGTTAGTGCGGTTCTTAAGGGGGGTTTTTTTCGGTAGTGTATGTGTCATGTGATATCACTGTGATGGACCCAGGCCACTTTTCCGCCCCTTTCCCCCTTTCCCCTTTTTCGGCTGTGTCGAGTGAGAGGAAAAAAAAATAAAAGTGGACCTGAAGGATGAGGAACGGAGGCACGAGCAAGGAACAAAAAACACCACACCATAAGAAAAAAGGATGAGAGGTAGAGAGACAGAGAGTCGACTCGACAAGATACCATTTTTTCCTTGTTTGTGTGTCCTCTTCTTTTTATATTTTTCTCTCTTCCTCCCTCTTCTCTCTTCTCTCTTCTTTCGTCTCATCATCATCATCCCTCCCATCCCTCTCCTCCCTTTCTCTTCCTCCCTCCCTCTCTCCCTTACTTTTACCCTTCTTTTATCACCACCTCCACCTCCATCCCCAATGTAAGTATACAACAAAAGCAAGGGCACCCACACAACAGGCGCTCACTATATCGCTGTCATTGTCATTGCTCTGCTCTCTTTTTTTCGTTTTCCACTCTCCCCCTCTTTCCTTGTACTTGCCCCCACGTCAAAGCACGCTTTCTCTCTCCCGCTCTCTCGCTCTCTCTCTCTCGCACACCCCCCTGCTCTCTTTTTGTTTTTCTTGTCGCTCGTTCACTGTACTGCGTACATATACACACCGTGCCTGACTGTTTGACCGGAGCAAGAAAAAAAAAAAAAAAAAGCAAGGAAGCTCAAAGACTCCGCATTCGCTCTGTCTCTCTGGCCTTCCTGCCCCCCTTTTACCTCAACGGGAAGAAAACAAAAAAAAAAAAAAAAAAAAGGTTTCACGACAACGACAACAACCAGCAACAGTATAAAGCAACAGCAGCAACCGCAACAAGTAAAGCAGTAGGAGAGGACAAAGGACATATTTTAAGCTAACACCCCACACTCTCTTTGTCCACGTTCAATAGGTCGACCCCCTACGATCCTCATCCCGGCCCATCCGCCAAGACCGCTCAGCTCCAGCAGCAGGTCAACGATGTCGTTGGAATCATGCAACAGAACGTATGTCCCTCGCACTTTTTCTCTCTCTTTTATGGGATGAACAAACATCTTTCATCCTTTTTTGTTTTCAGTATGAACAAGCAATAGCAACTGACAGCCGTGTTTTTTTTATTGTTGGTGTCTGGAAATAGATTGACTCTGTCAGGGACCGCGGCGAGAAGTTGGACACCCTTCAGCACAAGACAAGTAAGTTTCCTTGGTGTCCCGCGTATTCACGTCCCACTCATAAATATTCCAATTCGCACCGGTTGAACGCCAGGAGACGCTTGTGTGTGTGTATTGTTTTGTTTGTACTGTTGCTGTTTTCTACTTCTCTTCCTTTCTCACTCCTTGGACGTTGTTTTGATTGACACTAATGTGCGCTCCATATACACTAATTAACGCCATCTTCATTCATGATTATGTGTCTATCAACCAAATAGCCGACCTTGAGCAGGGTGCTGTCCAGTTCAGAAAGGGAGCCTCTGGCGTCCGTCGTCAGATGTGGTGGAAGAACATGAAGTGGCGCCTGATTGTGGCCGTGGGAGTCATCCTGTTACTCGTCATTATCATCGTCCCCATCGTCAAATCACAAAAGTGAGCAAGGTGCTATTGATTCCTCCTTTTTGCACATATGGACTTTACTGACTGATTCGCCTTTTTATCTCTCGCTCTTTCTCATGGACAGCAAGAGTATTGACAGGGTGCACTCGCCGTCCCCCTTCTATATATATATACATACATTTGTCAACCCTGTACATCTTTTTTTCTTTCTCATCTCCTAACCTGAGGCCGTATGAACATTAATAAAAACGAAAGCTTTCTTTCATAATCAAATACTTGGCAACAGGCACTGCTAAGTACGTCAAGAGAGGGCTGGACTGGAGTGGACTGGATGACGATCTGCCCTGAGTAACGGAAAGGAATGTACGAGTAAGGCGTTGCGGCAGAGACATGGAGAGAAAGAGAGACAACAAAAGGGCACCACGACTGGGAAGTAGGTACATATGCATAAGATAGGCTAAGTGGGTCATCACTCACGAAAGGAAGAAAAAGTCCTGATCAGCACCGGGGCGGACGCCTGCAGCGGTGGTTCGAACAACCGTGCTGAAAGGAAGGAGGACACAGTATCACAGACATAACAGCAACGAGCATGCATGCCATCGATTAAAATTCTTTTTTTTCCTTCGCTGTCACTTCTTGTTCTCTTTTCTTTTTCTTCAACATTTCGACACCCCTCCTGTAATATCAATCTCTCCACTCTGCAACCTTCTTTCCCGCTCTCCTTTCATATTATATATCCTTGCTGCTCTTCCTCCTCTCTTTCGCCATCCACACTCTCTCACACTCTCACACTCTGTTCACTCACTCACTCTTTCTCCTTGCCAACTTTTGTCCGTTTCCTCCTTCTGCTGATACACAGGACCCCAACCCTTTCTTTTTTTTATTCACCGCCACCACGCCCAAAAGACCGCCAACAAAACTCAGGATGGCAACTCCACGGAAACTTGGTGTCCTCGTCGCCATTCCCATCAAGGGACGCAAACTGGTCAACAGATCCAAAGGAAAACAGTCGCCCTACATCCAACTCACCCTCAGTGGCCAAAAGAAACGCACCAGGGCGTCGCTAATCGCCTCTGTTGAACCAGAATGGGACCAAGAGGTAATCTCCCAAAAAAAAAAAAAAAAAAAAGGCAGTGATGGCTATTTGCATACCCCAGCCTGGTCTAGCCTTTTTTTTTATCTTTTATTTCCTTGTTTTCCCCACAGTTTCCTTTGTCGTCCAAAGCATTGTCCATACAAGCTATAACCTCCCACTGACGTTTTTTTTCTCATGTTCTCTTTGTTGCTGTGCCTGTGCGTGTGTGCGTGCGTTGTTCTTCAGATCCGACTGGACGTATTTCAGGGAGCGCTCGACATGGGCGTATCGGTTTTTGATGAGGGAAAGAAGAACGAACTTATCGGCGAAGGGACGCTGCTTCTGCACGAAGTCATCGATAAGGGTGAACTCGATGGCAAGTCATCCCCCAACAACCCATTGTCCACGACAGAAAGATAGAGCAACACTGACCTCTCTTTTTGCTATCATTTTTTATTTGTTCACAGTATGGTTCCCGATCAAGCACAAAGGAATCGTAGCTGGCGATATTTATTTCGAACTGACCTTCTACGCAGTGGTAAACTACAACAAAGAGGACGGGCCATTGATACCACAGGAGCTATTGTTTAAGGATGACAAGAAGCGTCCCACAGCAACACTTGACCATAGCCTCACTGACAGATCCAATATTTTACGTTGCTGATCCGAACATAGGCGCCACCTCCACAAGTATCCACAGGGACACCTCCGATCGGGCATCCTCGCCTGCACCAGCATTTGCCCATGCAGCGACCAGGATTCGTCCCTCCTCGCCCTCTACCACATATCCCACCAGCAGGAAATAACTATGGACGACCCTATGCACCCTTCCCCCTTGGACCGCCTGGCCCACCTAGACCTGGATATCCTCCGCATCAACAGCAACCACCAATACCTGTTCATATCAACAATAACACTAACACGCCACGGCCGTACCCGATCCCACAAAACAACCCATACCCACCTCCGCAACCACCCATAACCAGCATGAACGGAAACATACCATATGGTACACCGCCAATGGGTCCGGGATTCAATCCAATGTTGGCGACAGGAACACCTGGGTTCAGACCATCGACCCAGTACACAGGATCTTCACCTCAAGGACAGCATGTTCCTATGCCTAACGCTAGTCATCCGTATCCGCCTATCCGTCAGCCAGTTTCGCAATACCCGCCACCAGGCGGTGTACGACCAAGACCTGGAGGGATGCCCAATAGCATGCCCATTCCACAGCCACAGCCACACCATCACCCTTCACCCGTGCATGGACGAAGGCCACCTATTCAACCAACAAGTGGCAATCTTTCTCGACCACCACCTAGCTCTGTCTCTCAACCGCATGTCACTCCCTTGAAGCAGTACAACTACTCTTTGGGAGGAAGTTTCCCTTGAGAATTTTTGCTGTTGCGTAGAGTGACACATAGTAAAAAACATAACGAAAACAATTTTTTTCTCGTCGTTGGACGACTTGTTTGAACCGTTACTCGGAGCACTAAGTGCTGGTGTGGGGTTGCCGAAATTGTAGCTTTAGTTAAGGTTGTTAAGGGTTCCGAGCAGTTGCTGTTGCAAAAAGATGTGGTGGCTAGGCAGTGGCGGCGATGCCTTCGGTCAGCAGTCATATTCTTTAGTAGATAGTGTATTAGTAGTGCGCCGAGCCCTCTTGTCTGCTCTTTGTCCTTTTACACATCACTTCTTGGACGAGAGCAGTATTGACAAGAGTTTCGCTGGCGCGCTGCAGTGTATCGTTTCGTGTGACTCTTTAGGACGCTATTATCACTATCCCCGACTATCAACCCCCCCCCTCAACCTACAACCCCTCCCCCCCGTACCGATTGAGGACTCAACAGCGGTCCTATAACTCTGGCCTTCGACCCTCTCCCCTGAGTAACAGTGCTTGCCTTTTGAATTTTGCCCGTTTACTCTCAAACCATCATATCATACGACTTTTCTTGTTGTCTTTTTCACTCCTTCACAGTTGTAACATTGACGAAAGCAACAGGACTCTTTCCATCATCAGACTAACAAGCACACTTCCAGCTCCTTGCATACGAAAAAAAATGAGCTGTCCTATTATGTGTTGTCGTTCATGTAAGGAAACAGTGATCACTCTCTCTCACACAAGGGAGGCTTTGAGATTTTTATTGATTTTTATGACAAGAAAGAGAAAGAAAGCTGGAGTGACGATTCATTAGTCCGGCTTTTTTTCATCTCAGGACTTCTGAATCGTCACTCCAGCTTTCTTTCATCTATGGACTAACGAATCGTCACTCCTCGTCCTTTTGTTTTCACTTCTGCTTCTGTGGTTTGTCCCGACTTATGCACTGCTCTGATACGCATTCTTGGACTCTGCTTCTCTGTTGAACTTTGTGATGGTGAGATCGACATTGTTCATGATGTTGCGTGCCATGTACACGCAGCAGTTGGAGGTGATACTTTGCTGCAGATGTTCGAGATAACATGAGAAGACAAGAGCAAGCTAGGCACCCCAGGTGAAGAAAGAGGTGGTTTATTTTTAAAGTTTAGCAAGTTGCGATATTTGCAAAGCGAAGACAGCTACGATGACCACAATGTAATGGCGGAAGGCAAGCCTGTCTGTATTCTTTGTGGAAACCCATGGCAATCCTCGGCGCTCTTCGGAACCACAAATTGGAGTGCCACGATGGCCCAAACAGGAGAATCCATCCTCTGAAGTGCCACTGATGTCTCTCGCATTTTCTATCACATACTGGCCTCTCTAAACATCTGATTCGTTGCTACTTGCTAGGGTCTGGACGAGTTATTGTACCCCTGGATATTTTCACACTGTGGTTATGGATGTGCCGTTGGGGAGATTTGTGCACACTCTCATACCTGCAGGACATGGGAGCAGGACAGTCAGACTTTGGTCGAGTTCCAAAAAGGAACTAATTCATATTGCTCAGCATGCAGCAACTGCTCAATGCAGTCAGAAGATGTTCGAACCAGCAGAGTTGAGGCTCGAGGATGGAAGCAAGGCGTTTGCACTTCTCTTGACAAGCGACTCGAAGAGGCTACAGAGCGGTTCGGTGGCATATGTGTGATCCTTGAAATGACAACGCCCATCAGAGATCGAAGATATCGAACTGGAGGCCGCCTTGAAGGTCCATCACTATGGCGGTCTGATCAAATCTGAGGACTGTAAGGCGGCTGAGAGTGATGCGATTTGGCATATGCCATTTCGCAGTAACGGCAAGACACTCTCCAGGATGCTTGGGGGTCTCATGGTTCAGTCAGGGAACGCGGCCCTTTTTTGTTATAAAGGATGAAGTATACGGTAGACTTCCAGGTGAGGATACACGCCGACAAAATCTCGCCTTGCCAACGCGCAGTTCTTTCAGCATCGTTAATTTCCATCATGACAACACCAACAAGGCAATGATTGGGACATTCGAACGGAACGCCTTGATAATATGCTGCATTATCCTCACAACTGGAAAGGTCATTGATGGTCTAGACAACTCCGAGTTCCATCCTCACAAAGACTCCCGCATTTGAATTCGAAAAATAGTGGCCAAGACTTTTACAACAACCTAGGGAGACAAACGCGATCCAAGTTTAGTATGGAGTCCACGTTCGAGTCCTATGCTGCAGTCGACAGGATTTTCAACTTCTACAAAACAATACCCGTGACTCTGAAGTCATTATGGGTGTACAAAATCAATAGAGTGGAGCGGTATCAAAACTGCAGCATTTGTGTTCCACAAACTCTATTCCGAACACAGCCTTGTCAAACCCAATAATGGCAACAGTAGTCTTATCAAGTCCCGCGGCCGCAAAGCCGCAACATGTCAGATACTTGACATTGTTGGTCAGATGGCTGAGGTAATGGCGGATGTGGAGACAATCCCAGTTTCCGAAGAGGTCAACAAGTACCACACAATGCGTGTCAGGAAGGTGCAGGGGGAGGTCTCCGATCTGAACAAGAGCAAGGTGTCAAAAGCCGCCGAATTACGGATCCAAATGGTTCTTCTATGCAACCTCTCCATATGCAAAGGAATTTAAAAAGCATATAAAAATATCCAAGGCCCAAGGAATGCGCGTCAGATTTCTATAGCTATAACATTTCTCCAAAGTCCGGAAGAGAACTTAGGGTGAGATAGCAACAGACAGCATAAGATTTTTTAAAACGTAGTCTCTCCCCTGTATTTCAGCAAAGATACAGTTGAGAGCACAAGTGCCTTAGGTGATCACATACAAGAACTACTTATCCGAATCTTGTAGTGAGGGGTACAGTTTCATAGTAGATGAACACATTCAAGAGATTCGTTTTGCAAAAAAAAGAAGACTTGTTTGGAGAATGTGATGGTGTCTAATAGGATAATATACAAGGAACGATACAGTCGTTGTTTTACATGGTTGATATCATACATACATAAAGTGCTCCACAAAAGTGTTCAACCAAAACACGATTTTGCCGTTTTTTTTGAAATGCTCATTCACCAATGTTCCAACCGGCCCCCAGATTCCAGTCATTCATTCTCTTGAATCGTAATCCCATTCACCACCACTTGCTTTTTTTTGCATGGACCGACATTGGATCATCGCCGGAATTGAAATGCCTAACTCTGCTTGAACAGTTAAATGGATTACATGCATCACGATCTCCTTTTTCAACTTGCGGAGTCTTCGTAGTTTCTTATTACCTCTACATTTTAGTGAGTTACTTCCTCAATTCCTATATGACATTGTGTCAAGGTTTGGAGTTCCTACTTATAGTCTTTTGTATGTGACTTATATGCATGAGTTTACATGGGTTTAGCACGTATTTAGCTGTTTTTTTAATACCACAAGCTCAATGCACTTTTAACAGGCAAACTGAGAGATGGTCCATGTATAGAACATGTTGTGGATCAGCAACATAGAAAAGGTATGGGATTACCGCAACGTTAACATGAGATATCACTAAAGTAAGTATTGTTACATGGAGTTAGCATGACTTTAAATCCTGTCACGGTATTACACTTCATTGAGAGTAGCTGGTTTCTTACATTAAAGACTTCTAGATCCCACAACATGTTCTATACATGGACCAGCTCTCAGTTTGCCTGTTAAAAGTGCATTGAGCTTGTGGTATTAAAAAAACAGCTAAATACGTGCTAAACCCATGTAAACTCATGCATATAAGTCACATACAAAAGACTATAAGTAGGAACTCCAAACCTTGACACAATGTCATATAGGAATTGAGGAAGTAACTCACTAAAATGTAGAGGTAATAAGAAACTACGAAGACTCCGCAAGTTGAAAAAGGAGATCGTGATGCATGTAATCCATTTAACTGTTCAAGCAGAGTTAGGCATTTCAATTCCGGCGATGATCCAATGTCGGTCCATGCAAAAAAAAGCAAGTGGTGGTGAATGGGATTACGATTCAAGAGAATGAATGACTGGAATCTGGGGGCCGGTTGGAACATTGGTGAATGAGCATTTCAAAAAAAACGGCAAAATCGTGTTTTGGTTGAACACTTTTGTGGAGCACTTTAGTACATAGTTTTTCTCTTTTTTATCATTTTTTGATAGTGCACTCATGGCCATGCCATGCGTTCCCTTTCACTTTTTTAACTCCCCGTTTTGCCGCCAAGGTTAGCTAGATGCTACGCTAAATTTCTTTTACCCCTTTGGTTGAGAGACTTTGGAAGAGGCCCTTACCCTCAAGACTGGTCCACTACAACCGAACAAAAAGGTTGTGCTAGTACTGCTAGATCCATCTTGGGCACATGCAGTATGCGCCCAAGACTCGATTCTTTTTTCCGGGAGATATGCTCGGGGTTTTCTTACATATCAAAGGAAAAGAAACGAAGGATGCTGCCAAAAGAATATTCATCAATAAAATATGCGGACGGTGCCTGTCAATGTGCCATAGGTGTACGCGTTTGCATATCTTGTGGGAGGCCTGTCTTCTGCATGCAACTTGTCGTCTTTATTCTCGCTCCTTCTCTCTCTCTCCAATACACACAAACCATACTTGAAGAAGAGATCGTCTACCATAGGAGAAAGTTTGACGCGCGTAACTCAGAAGGATGCTAACACTGTTCTCATCATGAGATGGTACTCTAGTCTATCTTTGTTCTTCATTTGTGAGTTACTTGTTTGTTTTATGCTCTTGTTGGGGATTGTGGTCTTATAATGTGTTGCCTATAACCTCCCTCTTTCAGACTTTCTTTTTGCCTGCGGGACATGTACCTTTTTTTGTGGAGGGAGAGAAATGAATGCGATTAATATGACAAGGGGGTAAGGTAATGCAAATTGAAACCTTAGAGGTGAGGGGTGGAAACACCTTAAACAAGAACCGACGAAGACGATGTAGAGATAACCGAAGAATGACAAGCGCTATGACAACGATCATTCCCCAACGGGCAGACAAGGGATAGATGGATCTAAACACATGCAACAAAAAACACAAATAACGAGAAGCTCCAGTCCAGTTTCGGTCCACCGTTCATTTATTCATCAATCCCCAGCGCCATATCCTCTTTTTCTCATTTCCCCCGTCCCTCTCTCTCTACCGCGCTCAACGCCTAAATGCTATTCTGTAGACAACCATCCAGTCCACCAACCAACCCAATAAGCCAACAGACCCTTCCCCTTATTATTCCCCGTGTCAATTCCCATGCCTTGTCATTCATAGTTTCTTCTCTCGTTTCTTCCCCCAATCCCCTGTTTCTCCAATTGATGTTTTAATATGAGTCCAACACCATAGTTCAATTTCAACAATGCGCCCTGGAATTCTTGCTGAAGCAAAGATTAAAAACCGACATTGAAGGATCAAAAGCAACGTTGCGATGAACGTTTGCCTACCACAAACCAGTTGGTGAACGCCCTTGATCTTTTTGTTCCTTAAGCCCCTTTACTCCTTGTTCACAAATATACCCCACTGGACCTCAATACTTTTGGAATCCATTCTTACGACCTTCCCTCTCACTCACTCTTTTCCATTCTCAATCCCACTCTCATTTCCTTTTGATATCACACCTCTTCCGCTTCATGGTCCGCTCATCTCTTTCCCTTACAGTCGGCATCCTGTTGGCCTCGTCCTCCGCTTGGGTCCAATATACTGACGCCCAGCAGCAATGTAACGGCTACACGGAGTTGTGTTCGAGGACCTATGACAAGGTCTCTTATGCCACCGCTCACAATGCCTACGCCTTCAACCCTCCCAACGGACTTGACACCAACCAGGTCAACAACATCCCTACCCAGCTCAAGGACGGCATTCGTGCATTCATGCTCGACGCCTACGCCACTCCATCCGGCAACCCCAATGAGATTGAACTCTGTCACATCAATTGCGCCTTGCTGGATGGGGGTGCCCTCTCAGCCACACTCGCTCTGTTCAAGACATTCATGGACGCCAACCCCAATGAGGTCATCACCATTCTTTGGGAGAACGCCGCCAACCTAAAGCCTGCCCAATTCCAGGCTGTCTATGCGGCCGCTGGACTAAGCCCATATCTTTACGCCCAGGCGACGGGAGCTACTATATGGCCCACTCTTGCACAGATGATTGCCAGCAAGAAGCGTCTTGTCAACTTTATCGACTCTGGTGCTGACGCAACCGTGCCATGGTTGATGGCAGAATATGATTTCATCTTTGAGACACCTTACAGTATTCCCAAGGGTACTGCCTATCCTTGCACAATCGACCGCCCCAAGGATCAGCGCAAGCCGATGTATGTCTTGAACCATTTCATCCAAGGAGCAACCAACGCGCAAGGAAGCACGACCTCGGACCCTCAGCCAGATGTCGCCGATCAAACCAACGGCCCTGATCTGGTCTCCCACATCAACTCCTGCCAGACCATCTTTAAGCAGATCCCCAGTTTTGTCGCCGTCGATTTTTATCAGAAGGGTTCGTTGACTGAGACGGTGGCCAAGGTTAACAAGGTCACCTGGAATGGAATTGCGGCTACTACTTCTGGAAATAACGTACAAAAAACTAATTGAACGGGCTCCCTTTGTTCAAACACGATGTGCGTCAAAGTACCATACTGTTTACCTCTAAACCACCCAAAACAATAAATACAAAAAGAACATCGATCGTCAGAAAAAAAAATCCATTCCTTGATCTTTCGCGTCGTTTGATATTGTTCCTTGATGTTATTCTTTGGTTTTGTCCTTTGATGTAGCCCTTTGAACTTATCCCTTGATGTTAGCCTTTGATGTTGTCGTTAATACTGTTTATTGGTATTGTTGGTTAGTGTCGTCTCTCAATCTTTGTCCCCTTGAATTTTCGTTTGAAATGTGCACCTGCCCTTAATCTTTTTTTATGCTTTGGTTTTTCTATTCCCATGATCTTTTTTTGCGTACCTGCCCCCTTGACCTTTTCTTGCCATGTCCAGTGTTATCACTGGGTCATTCCATCCCTTGAATCTGTCTAGGTCCTTTTTTGCATCCCTTAATCTTTACCAGTATCCCTTGATCTTTACCAGTATCCTTTGATCTTTACCAGTATCCCTTGATCTTTTTCCAGTATCCCTTGGTCTCTTTTCAGTATCCCTTCTTTCCAGTATCCCTTGATCTTTACCAGTATCCCTTGATCATTTTCCAGTGTCCCTTCTTCCAGTATTCACTGCCGCTCAACAACACAGCACTGTTGCTCGACATCACAGCACTGCCGCTCGACATAGCCTGATCCTGACACATGCATATATACCGTAGCTCCATGTCCTTCTTCCTGCTCTTTAGACTTCAACGATCCTTCTATTACAATACACTCATATACACATAAACCCAACCCTACTGCAATGTCCAATACCAGCACGCCAAACATCTCTCTTTCCCTCCTCAAGCCAATATACACTTCTAATCCATCCTCGGAGGAGCCTCTGTATATCCAATCCACTCTGTCTACTCTCTCACTGGACCCTCACATTGAAGGCGGCTACTTTGCCTTCACGGACATAAACACTGCCTCCATCCCGTCACCATATCCGCCCGTGCCGCTATCTGCACGTACGCTCGAACTGACCAGAGGTTTGCGAGAGGGATACGATCCTGCAAAGAGACTGCTTTCGACGTCTAGTTTGTACTACTTGACTCCGAATCGGCCAATGGGATCGTTCCACCGCAATCAGAGCCGCATTATGCATACCCTTGTCAAGGGTATGAATAATGCGGTCAAGGGGCGCCGCCGATATGTTTTAATCCATCCTGATGGACATGTTGAGTCATTTGTGGTCGGTTATAACATCGCAAAGGGGGAAAGGGTCACTTGGACTGTGGAAGGTGGTGTTTGGAAGGCGAGTTTCTTGCTTCGAACCGCTGCAGGCGACGGGGCTAGTGACAGCACTGAAGGAGGTCAGGACAATAACGAGGGTCTCTTGATTACAGAGACTGTAGTTCCAGGGTTCGAATACTTTGATCATGAGTTTTTATCCGTGGAAAAGAGCAATGAGCTGTTAACCGCCACGGATGCCAAAGCATTGGAGTGGCTTGTCAAGCACTAGGGCTGTTGTATTGTGGGTTATTATTTCGTACAAGTATTACTAGAGATGGTGCCCTTAATAAATATGAAAGAGGTACCAAGCCACCCTCATATCGGCACCCCTATAAGCGCGTTGACCTGCTCCTGTGATGAAATAAAGGGTTAGTTTTTATTTGACGAATAATTATCAATAAATTAGTTTGCTCAATAGACGGGTCAACAACCACCTTCCTTCTCGTCTATCTTCTCTCATTACATTTCGACTTTTTTTGACGTCTTACTATTGACCGTTTTCTAAAAAACAACAACAACACACACACACACACACACACACACACACATACACACCCATAAACATTTTCCATTCGATGTCCAACCACGATTCTATGTGCAACAGGCGAAGACTGGGACAGAGAAGTATAGAACGGGGACGAGAGTTGAAGCAGTGATGATTGATGTTATTACTATGATACAACTAAATATATATACAAAGTCGCCAACTAGGTTTCTAGGTGTAGTGTCATACAAAGTCAGAGGTGACAGAGGGTGACAAGGAATGACTAACTAGAGAGCAATAGTAAACCTAATATGTTGCACCTTCCCCTCTTAAAAAAAATTCATCAAGTTTCAGGCCATGATCGGCTTGGACTTGGTTAAAAAAAATAAATGAAGGGAGTGACCGAAGACAGGAGATGGGAAAGACGCGGAACACGTAAGGGCGTGGGGACAGGGGATACGCGACATACACAAGGAACGTGGTGGAGAAGGAGAAATGAGAGAGGTGCGAGGAGAGAGAAAAGAGACAGGGAAAAAGAGATAAATAGAAGAGGCAGAGAGAAGGAAAACAGAGGAGAGAAGGGGCAAGGGAAAGAGGACAGAGTGGGACTCTGACACTCCTCCTTCTAAAGGAGACCTAGGGGTGGGGCCTCTTCGACCAGTACTCTTGAAGAGTTTCTCTGTAGGCGTGGAGGGCTTCCTGGTAAAACTTGAGGTGAGGGTCCATTGGCATCGGAGGGACAGGGGTTAGGCGACCAATGTCACCTCGAAGGCTTTTTTCTTGTTCTCGGAGGTCCACATAGTGTCTTCGGTACCATTCCAGGAGGTTCGGGGATAGGGATGTGTCGCTACACAACGGAGCGGTTTTATACATCTCCTGGCGCGTCTCTTGCCACGCAATCTCCAGCTGTGCGAGAAAGCTGCCAACTTGGGTTGGCTGACATGGTCCGAGGTTTTCTTGGGTAGAAAGAGAAGCCGCATGGACTTGTGGTCTTTCAAGGATTGGTTTTTCGTCGTCTTCGGGATCAAGGTTGATGGTTTGCTGAGTGACGAAGGTGGTGTTGGCTTCGTCGTTATCGGACGTCGTTTCTTGCTCCTCGGACGGCTTCTGTGCGGCGGGGAAAGTGCTTCGAATGGATGCTGCCTCAGGGTCGTCCTCACCATTAAAGGACTTTTGGTGTTGGAGTGAGGCTGTACGACGGTTGGGCTGGGCATCCGGAATGGTCTTGACGGAGGAACTGAAGTGTGCTCGCTTGGCGGACATGGTGGTGGTCGGTGTTGTGAGAGAGGAAAGGTTGTGTATATGTTCCCTTTTTTTTTTTTTTTTTTTTTTTGAATGGGGAAGCAAATGTGTGAATAGCGGTGTGAACGAAGGTAGGCGAATGAGATGGAGGCAGGGGAATGGAGGCAGGGGAATGGAAGGGTGTAGGGAACAAAGAGAAGAGAAGTGAGAATGGGCAGCTTGTTGCTTTTGAATGTCGAGCAACGGCGAACTGTCGATGAACTGAGGTCATGTTGGAATGGAACTGGAAGGAAACTGGAAGGGTGTGTGCATGAGGTGAAAGGATGATGGTGTGGTTGACTGTGAGGACAAAAGGAGTTTGTGCATGGGGGAGAATGGCGTGCTTGCTGAAGGAGGGAGGAGGGAACAGAGAGTGTTGTTGCATGGGGTGGAAGAGAGAATGGCGTGATCAAGGAAAGTGTAACGGGATTGGTTAAGAACGATAGGAAAGAAAAGAGAGTTTGCATGAATGGAGAAAAGGGATGTGCATGTGAACAATTTTGGTGAGCCGGCTGTAATGAAAGTGTAACGGGATTGGTTAAGAACGACAGGAAGGAAAAGAGAGTTTGCATGAACGAAGAAAAGGGATGTGCATGTGAACAATTTTGGTGAGCGGGCTGTCTTCCCGCACGCGTGTATATAGAGGGAGTAAGGGATGTGTGCACATAGAGGGAACGCGGTTTGTGTGCACATAGGGGACATTGCGCGTGACGTCGAATTTGTGGCTGTTTTAGGAACGAGAGATTAACACTCAACTTAACATGTTCATCTCTCTGCACCAACGACAGACAACCACATGGTGGATGACTTTTGGATCGGGATTGTTACGGACGGCGGGCAGCATGGACATACGATCGAAGTGGACTGGGGTTGACGGTTCCGGATTCAATGGACGCACTATCCTTGACGATGGTTTTGGTGATTTCGACGAAGGATGGAGGACTTGAGCCAGAATCAATTGTCTTCTTGTGGTCGAGATGACATAGGGGATGGCAGGGGTCGGTTGGCATCGTAGGGCAGATTGGCTGAATGGACGGAAGGAGTGTGACGGACGAAGGTATTGACATATCCATGGGCAGCGATACCATGGACAAGGAAATGGAATAAGATATGTTGACTGAAGGCAATCGAACAGATGAGAGGGCTGGACTGGGCGCATCAACTGTTGGCAACCCGACAAACGAGGGGATTGGGAATGACGCATCCGTGGAGAAGATATCACGAACGATGTCAAGGAGGCGGACGAAACGAGGCTTGGAATATAAGACAGGATATAGAACAGGAGACTGATTGCTAAGAAGACTGGGAGCATGGAAGGCTCAGTACGAGGAAGGCTGAGTACAAGGAAGACTGAAACAAGGGACGGTTGAGCACGAGGACGGCTGAGCACAAGGGAGCATGGAATAAGGGAAACTGAGAACAGAGGAAGCTGTGACTGGGAAACTGGGAACAGGGGAAACTGGGAACAGGGGAAACTGAGAACAGGGGAAACTGAGAACAGGGGAAACTGGGGACAGGGGAAACTGAGAACAGGGGAAACTGGGGACAGGGGAAACTGAGAACAGGGAAACTGGGAACAGGGGAAACTGAGAACAGGGAAACTGGGAACAGGGGAAACTGAGAACAGGGAAACTGGGAACAGGGGAAACTGAGAACAGGGAAACTGGGAACAGTGGAAACTGAGAACAGGGGAAACTGGGGATAGGGGAAACTGAGAACAGGGAAACTGGGAACAGAGGAGACTGAGTGCAGAGGAGACTAATAGCTGGAAAGACTAAGGACGATGAAGAATGTCGAGAGCCAAGAGGGGCATGTTGGGAGACGATAAAGAAAGGGGCGAGGGCGAGGGATGGAGGAAGAGGGAGACAAGGCTGGGAGGCTAAGATACTGGTCGCTAATGCGCTAATGAGTAAGATCAAGGGACCTTTCTTAACTCTAGAGAAACAGCTCTTAGTCGGCAACGAAGGGCGATAAGGGCGAGGACTCCACCGATGGATGTAGGTGTAGACTCCCTTTCCCCTCAACAAAAAAAATGTGGAGAGGGGGAGTAAAATAAAAATAAAAATAAAAATAAAGATAAAATGGGAGGGCGGTGATGGATCGGTGTAACCTTTGCTACCATGCAACAGGCGAAGACTGGGACAGAGAAGTATAGAACGGGGACGAGAGTTGAAGCAGTGATGATTGATGTTATTACTATGATACAACTAAATATATATACAAAGTCGCCAACTAGGTTTCTAGGTGTAGTGTCATACAAAGTCAGAGGTGACAGAGGGTGACAAGGAATGACTAACTAGAGAGCAATAGTAAACCTAATATGTTGCACTATGAATGTCGACATCTCGACTACCCCCAACAACCATAATGAAATGGAGGCTGAAATTGCCAAATTGCATGCCTCGCTCGACCGCTTGAAGGGCCTGCTAAGGCAAAACCGGCAGACGCAGGCCTGTCTCGTAGCTGATAATTCTCAGTTCGCGGTTCGAGAATCTTTGGCCAAAGAAGAGAGTATGCGCAAGGGAGAGCTGACCACTCATTTGGATGCTACTCATGCTGAACAAGTTCAAATCGAGAAGCAAATAAAAGAGTGTGAAGCTGCTCTTACCAGCTTAGAGGAGAGCCTTCCCGCTTCTCCTGAGGAGAATATCCTCAAGCTGGTGCGATACTTTTTGGATTATAAAAAGGAGTCTCTACCTTTGGTTCCTGGCAGACTGTCGTGTGGTGCAATATAATCAGTCGACTCTTGGCACAATCGGTCGACCCTTGGTGCAATCGGTCGACCCTTGGCACTATCAGTTGGTCCTTGGGAGCAGTTGGCTGCGCCCAAGAAAATTAATTAGCATTACTCTCAAAAACACATATATATTCCATAGCACCCCAATTAGTTTGATCTTTACTTAGTAACTTGAATAACAACTTCCATACCTCTTGAACCCACTCTTCTTGTACTCTGTCACCTCCTGCCTGTTGCATATCTGCCCTGTCAAGTAGTGTCTGTGGAGGAAATTAGACTATTATACGCCTCCAATTACGCCCCCAGCTACGCCCCCAACTCCCTGTACACTATAAATATCCCCTTCCTTCTGTATAATAAACACCATCCGTTTCTGCCTTCTGCTTCTGTCCACTGCCCTCCTGCTGTTGCTATTAGATTACACATATCGTTCTAAGGCTGCCACCATCTCCAAGTGCCCAGCACGTCACCAACTTTTTTTCTTTCTTTTGTTCCTAACACTCTCACTCACACATACGGATGCACACGCAATCACCAACCTTTTGACAGCCTAACGACCAACCACAGTGCACATGGACGCAACGTTTCACGATTGACGAGTTTAAACATTTCTGAATTGTAGAAGGAGGTACTCAGATCACGTGAAACTGTCGACCCCTCTTTTTCATAACCGAATCACAAACCGCGATTGAAAACACTATTCACTCCACCCAACTGAAACCATCCCGCGACAGAGCAGGAATCAACAACATCGAGACAGGAGCCAACTACAATGAATCAGGAGTCCATCACTACAGACACCACCTCGTTCGGCGATCTTCCACCAGAGGTTCATGAAATGGTCGCGTCCCATCTCAACTCAAACGACTTGCGTCTCAGTGTCCTCGTCTCCAAATCCTGGAGAGCGATTTTCCACCGCTACCTCTGGAGATATGTCGAGATTATGTTGGATTTGGGCTCCGACATTGATCATAAACGGGTCAACCTGCTGAAGGCCAATTGCAACAGTTGAACCTCCGATCAGAGTAGCTTTAGATAAATAGACACACACTACCATAATACATCCACATCTCTTACTTCCACTCCTCCTAAGTTGCACCAATTGAGAGCATGTCCACTCGCTCACACTGTGGAGCGTATGGGGGGACGGAGACCACGGTGCGCTACCCTCGTTTCTGGAGCTCTTACCGCCTTCCTCTAATCCTCGCCCAGTCTTTCCAAACCTGGATTCGGCGGAAATCGATGCCGGGGTCGAAGAGTCGACAGATCAGGCTATAGCGCAGCTTCTTGAGCTGACCGGTGCAATATGGAAGAGGCTTGTTTTGAATGGCGATGAATATCTCGGCAATGGGATCAACTTTGGGCCATGATCCATGAAGGTGCTTGCGAGGCATGCCGAATTCCTTGAGTTGTTCCGCTGTAGGAGTGAAGTTAGTTCCACGGATAGGCTCTTACAGCTGCTGCTTTGCTCTGCGCCCAAACTGAAGGAACTCTCTCTTGTCGGGTACTACGGCTTAACTGCAGGAGGATGGTTGGACGCCAGGAAGATTGTAGAGATGGAATGGGTCTGCTTAGGTCTGGAGGTCTTCCAATGCAGGATCGGTAACATCCCCCGCCCAGATATCACCCGCAACATTGGCGATAATCCAGCGGACGTCTTTGTTGTCAAAGGTTCCCTTCAGGAAAGTCTCGACCTCCAGTGTCAGGTGTACACCAAGCTGGCCAAGTTGACAAGGTTGTGGGAACTGAAGCTGGACTTGGAGAGCTACAAGTATACGTTGGAATATGAATTGGACGAGATGTACAGGAGACATTTTGACTGTCTTGCGATGACTTTGGACAGTGGTTTGGATCTGCTGAAGGGGTTGAAAGGGTTGAGGGTGATTTAGCTGGAGGACATGGAGGTTTAAGTAAAGGGCGAGAGGGAACAAGCCTGGCTCAAAAAGCATTGGCCCCATGCGAAGATTGAGCTTGGGGAGGAGTTCGACAAGTACCTTTAGTAGGACTATTAGATGGATACAGCAGGCATTAAATCCTTTCTTTTTATTCGGTGTCTTTGGAACTTGTTGTGGAGTTGACTTGTCCATTGACGCCGCCAATTTTTCAATGCGTACATGGAAGCTCTGAACCCATCCCCTCCTCCGCTCAATTTTTCACTACTGAGGGGCTGGAACAAAATCATTCAGTTTCTTATGGGAACGTTAAATATTGTTCACTTTACAAAGAGTCACTGCGTTTTGCAATTTTTTTTGGAGACTAAGGTAATCTCAAACCCAACCACTGGACTACCTTGCCCCTGGAAGAGAAAAGATGGAAACCATGGAAGAGCATGGAAGTCAAAGAATTAAGTGAAAAGGCGCGCGTAGCGCGCTCGGAGCGCAGTTAGTACCTTCCTTCCTTGAATAAGGGCCATTGCCTTTTGTATTATGAAAATAACAAGCTTCATGTCTCCTTAACCTGCTACAGTTCTCCAAAAAAGTGATTCATCTTTTGCGATTTCGACTTTTTTTGGGAAATGCTCATTCATCAATGTTCCGACCGGCCCCCAGATTCCTGTCATTCATTCTCTCGATTCGTGGCCTCATTCATTACAACTTGCTTCTTTTTGCATGGACCGACATCGGATCATCGTCGGAATCGAAATGCCTGAATCGAATGAATCAGTTAATTGGATTAATGCATCCTGATTTTCTTTTTCAACTTGTGCGGTCTTTTTAGTTTCTACCTGCCTTTAAACTTTAACGAGTTGCGTACTGAATCATATAGGACTATCTATCAAAGTTTGGAGTTCTTACTCATAGTCTTTTCTATATAACCTATATGCCTGATTTTACATGGACTTAGCACGTGTTTAGCTGTGTTTTTTTAACAACAAGCTCAGTGCGCTTTCTACCGGCAAACTGAAAGCTGGTCCGTGTTATAAGACATGGAGTGGATTATCATCATAGAATAGGCACGGGATTATCATAACGCTAGCATGAAATATCACTAATGTAAGTACTGTTATATGGAGCTAGCATGATTTCACACATTGTCATGATATTGCGCTCCATAGAGAATAACTCGCCTCTTACATTGACCACATTTAGATTATACACCATGCGCTACAAATGGGCCGGCTTTCAGTTTGCCGGTAGAAAGCGCACTGTTGTGGTTAAAAAAACACAGCTAAACACGTGCTAAGTCCATGTAAAATCAGGCATATATGTCATATATGAGTAAGAACTCCAAACTTTGATAGATAGTCCTATAGGATTCAGTACGTAACTTATTAAAGTTTTAAGGCAGGTAGAAACTAAAAAGACCGCACAAGTTGAAAAAGAAAATCGGGATGCATTAATCCAATTAACTGATTCATTCGATTCAGGCATTTCGATTCCGACGATGATCCGATGTCGGTCCATGCAAAAAGAAGCAAGTTGTAATGAATGAGGCCACGAATCGAGAGAATGAATGACAGGAATCTGGGGGCCGGTCGGAACATTGATGAATGAGCATTTCCAAAAAAAAGTCGAAATCGCACAAAGATGAATCACTTTTTAGGAGCACTGTGAGCGGTTGTAAGAGTCAGCGAGAAAGAGGAGGTGTGAGGTGAGGAAAGAAAAGAAGAAAAAGGGAAAAGGAGAGAAGCGAATCAAAAAGGGGCAGATCGAGCAGAGGACTGAGTTAAGGTTGGTGGCTGACAGTAACTCTCATTGTGGCTAGCTTGTGTCTGAGAGAACGTTCTGTCTAAATTATGTTTACATCAATCGAGATATGAGGTAGTAGAATTATTATTATTTGGGATGGGGGGGGGGAAAGGATTGAAGTGTGGCTGGGAAATTGAGGAAGAGGTGCCAAAAGACTTATCATAAGGAGACATTAACTGGCTTGTGGCAGCCAAGCGTTCACAGCGAAGTTGCTTTTTGATCCTTCGACGCCGGCTCTTTCTCTCCTCCCTGCAGGAGAATTCGAGGCCGCATTGTCAATGCTTCGTTCACATTGTTACAAAAAGATGTGGTGGCTAGGCAGTGGCGGCGATGCCTTAGGTTAGCAGTCATATTCTTTAGTAGACATAGTATTAGTAGTGCGCCGAGCCCTCTTGTCTGCTCTTTGTCCTTTTACACATCACTTGGACGAGAGCAGTATTGACAAGAGTTTCGCTGGCACGCTGCAGGTAACAACCCCCTCTTTGATAATATGAATACAAGGTCCTTTTACACATCACTTGGACGAGAGCAGTATTGACAAGAGTTTCGCTGGCACGCTGCAGTGTATCGTTTTGTGTGATTCTTTTAGGACACTATTGTCACTTCCCCTCCCCCCAACCTACAACCCCTTCCCCCCCCCCCTCCGTACCAATTGAGGACCTAACAGCGGTCCTACAACTCTGGCCGTCGACCCTCTCCCCTGAGTAACAATATTTTGGTGATCTACGCAGGGGCCAGCAATTGGTACAACAGCAAGAACAAGATGGCAAACCCGACCTTTTACCTCACAAACCTCGAGACATGGACGAACGCTCAAGACATGGATGTGGAGAGCTGGCTCGCAGATGTATACCAGGTTGCCGATATCACCCAACTTCCGTACCAGCGAGTAGTGAAGCTCAAGACGACTGGTATGGCGAAAGGATGGGTGGAGAGATGGGCGTTGGAATTCGCCACCGACGGCAGTAAGGAAAAGTTCTCCACTGACTTTCGAGCGGAGATAGCCAGACCACGGACGACCGCCAGTACATATGCTGAGATAATGAGCATCAAGCAGAAGACCGGAGAGTTGACAGACCGGTACATTGCAAGGATGAAGGCCAACATCAAGCTGCTACAGTTGACGTCCAAACCTGATGCTACCCTGTATACGCTGACCGATGACGCCGAGGCGACTTTCAGTATTGCGTTCTGTCGAGGGTTGATGCCTGGGCACCCCTTCAAGGTTAAGAACCGAGATCCCGAGCCGACCCTAGCAGGGACCTACGCCGCACTTGCCAAGTATTGCCGCCACAACCAATATGAGGAGGAGACTTACGAGGACAAGATCCGCAAGGAAGCTGAGAGGCTCGCACCCAGGCATACCACTGGATCGATCGAGATTGCCGGTACCAAGATCCCTGCCGCAGAGTTTCAAGCCTTCAGAAAGGACTTCGAGCCCGAAACGCTGACAGCAGAAGTTGATGAGATGGTCAAGATGTTTGAGTCCTGGAGTTTGGCATCGTTGGAAGACCAGACCTCAGCCGGGCGAGTCGCTCGCACAATTGCTCGGCTTCCGGTAGCCGTTGCTCGCAAGGTATTCGGCCACACTAGGTTCGCCCAGCACATTCGAGGTGGTGCCATCGAGATGCCAGCCAGCCGCCAAGTCGTGCAACCCAGCGCTACTCCTGCTTCCACCGGGCCCAGATTATGCCATAAGTGCCAGGCAGAAGGCCATTACGCCAACGAATGCCCTGCTGTTGAGTGTTATCACTGCCATGAAAGAGGACATGTCGCCCGAGTTTGCCCCAACAAGTCCACCACCCCAGCGACAGGCCCCAACAGTATCCCCGTAACCCAACAAAACTCGATGAGAGTGCAGAGCATCGAAATCGACCACGCCTTGGCCGCGCAGAGGACGACACGCAGTATGGGTGGGGTCGACCAAAAGCGGCGCCAAGAACGATCGAACCTTCCAGTAGGACCCAAGGCCAAGAAAGATATGAGCCCGGCAAAATCGAAAGTCGTTGATAGAGCCATGGATTGGGAGGAAGAACCTGTGTCTGGAACCTTAAATGACGCCGCAGGAATTGGGCACATTGAGAGCAGCGACAGAGGGCGGCGTGGACCTGTCGGAGTAGTCACGATAGAGCCAGTGACAGAGGAGGCGATTGGCGAGGATGCCGTGAGGAAGAGAAGGCCCAAGCAGAAAGTTGAACCGGATCCAGTCTTCGTATCCAGTATTGAGAACCTCACCTTTGACGTCGCCACTATCTCGAAGCATGGAGGCCGAATGCCGTCGCAGCTCAAGGCAGCAGTCAGTCGCGTGTATGCCGACAGCCGGGAGAGACGAAAGAAGGCGAGGGCCAAGAGCAACACCGCGCAGGCTGCGCAACCATCTATAACTGTGGCCAATCGGGGTATCGCAGTCTCGAGAAAGGCGCTAGGAGATGTAACCACTGTCAGAGTCAACGGCCGTAGTTACCCGAATGCTATCATCGACCCAGGCAATGATAGGACGATGATGGGGCTCCATGTAGCACAAGACCTCGGACTCGAACTCAAACCAGCCAACCGCGGTATCCTGCTGGCTGATGGCCGATTTGACAACCTCGCAGGATCAACTGGACCCATCAAGTTCTATGTCCAAGGGTTCGGTGGGCAGATGGATATGGGCGTGATCGACTGCAAGCGCTCCTACGATTTCCTCCTCGGAGACGACTGGCTAGCTTTCGTGGGAGCCAGGGCTGCTTTCAGTGGAGGAAAGCGATACTACGTCCGCAAGGAAGGAGTCAACGTTTATTTGGGCACGAGTGATGAACCGCACAGTGATTCCAGTGGGTCTGAGGAGTACTCTGACGACGATTATAGCGATGAGGATTCGGATGAGGAGTATGAATCGGATGAGTCCACAGGAGATGCCAAAGAAGGGTTTCGAGCCATGCGAGTGCGGTCCTTCGAGTTGTCAGACATATCGATCCAAGCGCGGTCTGTGGAGACTGTTAACTTGCAGAGCAAGGAGTCACTGGTGTCGTCGCCTGTGAAGTCACCTGAGTCGTCGCCTGAGTCGTCGCCTGAGTTGCCGCAGTTCAAAGTCGGAGATGTAGTAGTCGACATCAACCCAGCATTGGAGATGGAGAAGCGAGTACAGATGGTTGAGCTCCTGGAACGGAACAGAGACCGGTTTACAATGGACATGCAGGACTTGGAGGTCACCACCG